CAAACTTCCAGAAAACTACAAAACTCAATGAAATATTATTTTATCATTGAACAGATCAAATGAAAAAGCATAAAAACTAGTTTTTTAAAACTGTTGTGACCCATGTCCTTTCAGCTTAACAATTTAAGTTTGGACACCATTGATGTGGGACGTTAATCATCTTTATTTTTGAGTTAGCATTTGTCTCTTTGGTGGATTTTATTTCACAGCCTTTGTTTTGTTTTCAGCTCCAGATGTGGAGTCTGTGGTTTGTGCCACACCGGATCAGATTGTAGCCTGGTAGGTGAAAACAGACGTATATATTTTTAACATTTGCATTAATTTACATTCCCATCCCGGCCTCCTCTGGTTAGAGAGGAACTGGTGTCGACATTAATCTGCTGTACTGCTTCTCTCACTTCCTCTTTTTCTTAGTGGGGATTTTACTGCTTCCAAGATAAAATCGAGACCAGGTACCATTTCAACATCTGCTTTTAAATAACGTTATGACACAAAATAGAGAAGCCATCTTCAGTACACACATTTTGCCTGTTGTGTGTCCCCTCTGATGTAAAATGTGAATTTTCTCAGCCAGGATAAATTGTTTTCTTCTTGTCTTAGGGTCGGTAGGGATCTGTGTCTCTCAGAGGAAACTGCGGCAGATCGACGATCCCATCCAACGGCTGCTGGTTCAGCTGCACAAAATCATCTTCATCACTCAAGTATTGTAATTTTTCAAGTTTATTTTAAAAAAAATAAAATGTATTTATTTCAAATACATTCTTATTCATTTATTTTAAAAATTCTTTATTATTTTTATTCATTTCAGAAATTTTCTTATTTTTTTCTTAAAATATTTTATTTATTAAAATAAATATTATTTGTTCTAATTAAAATTTTTATTCATTTCTTTTTAAAAATAATTTTCCTTTTATTTAAAAAATATTTGTAAAAAATTTATAAAAATATTTTTAAATCTTATTTTTAAATTGAAATACTTTTACATTTATTTTTACATTTGCATTATTTTTTTTCATTTTTACATAAAAAAAATCTAAATTAAATTTATATCTGTGCATTTTTAATTGAAAATTTAAAAAATAATAAAAAAATCAAGAGCTTGAGTCAAATAAATTATACATATGATTTCTTTAAATTCATGATATTTTTCAGTTTCAACATTTTTCCGGATGTGATTAATTTCCAGCTTCCTCCAGCTCCGAACTACAACATAAAACGGCGACTTGTTGAACGATTCAAAAAGTCTCTCTTCCACCTGGGCAGCGATCCGTACAACCTAAAGGTGGAGCTCAGAAAGGTCAGAAAAACAAAACAGGTCATTTCACTGAGCATCTGTCAATAATACATGAACCTTAAAATATGTAGAGGAGGCTGAAGAGGCCTCCTCATTAAAACCCGCTTGAATTTTAATTATATATTTGGAACTGGGCCCGTTTTACCTGCACAAATCAGTAACATTTTAATTATATGAAAATAAAACACAATATTCCTCATGAAACTCAGTTTTATCAGTTTTATCAGAAGCAAATTACCAAACTAAGAATCAGGGTTTGTAAGAGTGCTTGAAATCCTTGAGAATCCTTGAGTTTCAATAGGCTTTGGAAACTGCTTGATTTCTGTATAAAGTCCTTAAAAGTGCTCGATATTCAAACTGCACATTTTTGTAAAAAAGTGCAATCGAACGTTTGGTTATAAAAGTCTTCATTTTACGTTTGAAACCAGATATTTTCAGCCACTTTATAAAAGACATACAAACATTTTACTCACTGCAGTTTAAAGTTAAATCAAACTAAACTTTTATTGTTTAGTTAAAATTACCAAAATTATTTAGATTTGCTAAAGGACAGAAAACTTTGCGGGAACAATATTTAGAGATTTTTTAGTGACTTTTTTTGTGAATATTGTGCATAAATTTTAATTTTAATTATATTTAGAATGTTAATTTAGTTTTGTTGTTGCATTTCAAAACAAAAAATGATATATTTTAGTTTATTTTACACTAAAGATGTTATTAATACCAGTAAGTTTGAAAACTTACCTTGACAATGCTTGAGTTTTACTGGATGTGTGTTGTTCTTTTTGGGCCTCAGCTGGTCCAGGCTTCCTCAGAACTGGTGGAGATGAACTCGACCAGTTTGGACTGGCAGCATGTGGTGCAGCTGCTCCGAGGGGAAAACCTCACTGCAAACACTTCAGGTGGATTTATAGAACAGAGGCACTCCTGCAGGAATCCAAAACAAACACCGATACGATCCGTTTCCGTCTCAGACAGATTTTATCTCCTTATTTTTTTGTCTATTGTTCTGAAGTTTATTAAAAAGTTAATTGTCCTGTTTATTGTGGCAGGTGATGAGAGTCTCAGAGAAGGAGTTACATATCAGCAGATGCAGGTCAGTTTCTCCACAGTGACAGTGAAGTTTGTTCATTTTTTAGATTTAATTTGACTTTTTGTTTCTTTTATCAAAAACTTGACGGTTCTGCTTACTGGTTACTGAATGGCTTCGCACCACAAGACATTAAAGAACAAAAACCAAACAGCAATCAGCTTCTATAAGTCACAGATCTGGAACAAATTTCCAGAAAACTGCAAAACAGCTGAAACACTGAGTGTCTTTAAATCTAGACTGAAAGCCTTGAGTTGTTTTTGAACCATAATAAATCAACATATTTGATATGTATTGATGATTTTGATGATGACACTGAACAAAATGTCTGTTACTGGTTTTCTCAGGTTGGTGCCTGTAAGTTGTTTTTATGATGCAACGCTCTTTGAACTGCCTAGTTGCTGAAATGTAAACCCAGTATTATAAAGTTTATTTCAGCTTTAGTTGTACAGTCGCCTGCAGTGAAAGGATCTTCTGCTCTTCCTCTTCAGGAAATCATCGAGGAGCTTTTGGAGGAGAACAGCTACTACGAAGAAACAAGCAACAGGTGAAAATGTTAACATCCTTACAAGACAAAACAAACATGAAAAATCAAAATCAATTATCGTTCAACCAAAATCCTGTTTCATTTCAATCTTATCCATCCAATTTTTTATTTTGCCAATCTTGAATTAGTATATGTTACATATCAGCAGATGCAGTCAATAATTCCAGTATTTGATATGGTTCTTGATAACTTAGAGAAAATGTTTGCTGTTCTCAAGAGAATAATTTACCGTGTCGTGTTTCTAATCATGTGAAGCACTTTGAACGACCTCCTTGCTGAAAACCGCTCTGTGAATAAACTGGACTTTAATTTGGTCCGTTTGACTCTCAGGGCCAGAGAAGGAAACCGACAGCCGTCTGGTTCCACCTGGCCACAGGTCTGATCCCGGCGCCAGGATGACGTCATCATCAGCAGGACTTGTAAACACTCATATGAGCAAAGGCGAAAACAACATGCTGACGTTCAGAAGAAGAAGAAGAACGGTGTGCGTTAATGACAGGAGGGATTTTTAACTACGTTCAGCTTTGAGTCTCTGAGGTTTTATAAATTCGGATGGAAACTCAGATGTGACTTAAAAATGTGACATGATTACTGGAGCATTTCTGAAAGATACTTATCTTGAAAAATTATTTGCACTTTCATCACATCTACAGCGTAAAGAAGCTAAAGTTAAATTAGCTCATTTTAATATGCAGTGCTCTGGAACAGTTTTCCACATTTTGTCACCAATCAGCCGTAAATTTAAAAATATTTAACTTAAATTTATGTGATTGACCAAAACGGATCAGAATCTTGCAAGTTTTATTTCAGGACTTCCATCCATTTTGTTTTGTTTAACTCTGATTCCTGCTACCAAAAAGCAGCACCACAGCATGATGCTGCCACCACCTCTCTGCTCTGATCAGGGTTAGTGGTTTTGCTGTTTGTAATTTTACTTCCACTTTCCAATAATGATCTACTTTGTGTTAATCTGTCACATAAAATAGCGTTTTGGTTTGTAATGTAGGAAAATGTGAAAAACATCGAGCGGTGAGACGATCAAACTTACTATTTATAATAAAACTCTGTCGTAGCGCAGCATTTATAATCACCGCAGCGGAAACATTCATTTCACCCCCACATGTTTGTAACGTCAATTACAAGCAACACCCCCACTTGTTGCTTGTAACTGATGTTGTTTGTCTGTATAAATGTGAATGTAAATATAATTTAACGTTTCTGTGTAAATGTTAAACCTCTGTTTCAGTTTGTCCCACTTTAAACTCTGCACCAGATTTAACCGTTTTAGCTCATCGCTGCATGTGACAGCAAGAGTTTTTTTTTACCTCCAACCCACAATTTCCTGCTCATATTTCTGTCAAAGGGCTGAAAGGAGTTTTCACTTTGAGCACAACTCACTGTCACTCTCACTGTCTGACTGCAGGTAAACTTAAAACCAGATCACACGGGGCTGCTGGGTGCAGTTTGAACTGAATAAATTATCTATGCAGAGTGAAAAAATTTATTACTGAGAGCATTTAAATATAAAATGTCTTCTGCACTTTGATTTAAAAAAAGTATTCTGTAATCACCTGCTTTCGAGTTATAAAAGTTGATCAACATAAACAACTTCTTTCACTTCTATAATTTGGATTTAAGGCATTTAGTAGTTTTAAGGTCAAGTTAATCAAATAATGTCTTGTTCTTCATTTTTCCACAGCAGTTAAGGCTTTATATAAAATACTGAAGCAAAACTAAACTTAAATAGAAATCATTTTATTATAAAACAATGTTTGTTTTCAACCTGGTGGCTGCAGAAAGTTAACTGTATATTTTTAAGAAAAGAAAGAAAGAAACCGGCTTGTTAATGTTGTGACATGCGAAGCAGTAACTCTGTACTTTAGGGATTTAATATAATTTAACGTTAACAGATCAGTGGGGCAAAATGAAAAGTCTCCTAGTGAACCAACAGGGGGCGCTGCAGTCCTGAATAAAGGAAAGTGATGTGAAACTTTAACTCCTGACAGGGAAGAACATTTCTAAAACACAACGGCAAAGTTCAATAAACAAAAAAAAAATTATAGACAAAGAAAAACAGTGAATGTTTAATGATTTCATAAATGAAATTTTACAATTGAAAAATGATCATATGTACAAACAGTTTTCACACTGCGCTGGTTTGTAGCAGAAACTTAAAAAGAGAAGTAAAAACTAAATGTTGGCACATTAATGGCAGGCACATGTGAGTTTTCATAGGATGCATGTTGAGCTGCTTATATCCAGTAACTTCTAATTCATATCATTATTTCTGGTTCTCTTTCATATCAGACCGGCTTTTCCTTCTTCTAATTAATACAACAATTTTCAAGTTTAATAAAATGTATTTTTTAATGTTCTTTAGTTATGTTTGTAGCTTCCTCACAAACACAGTGTAGGAAAAACAACCAGCAGCTCAGACTGATAAGAACATTAACTTTGTAGTTAAAACTGGAAACAGGAAATAAAAATAGAGGATGTAAATGAAAATGCCCAACAGTGCAACAAAGGCTACAAAATCATTTTACTGTTCATATGTTTAATCCTGATATTAAAAAAAAGCAAAAAATATTTCCAGCAATAAGAATTAATAATGATAATCTGTATTTAGATAATTTCATTCATGAAGTCTAAGATATATGTATTTGATATTTAGCTTACTAACATGGTGATAAATGTTTCATTATGCTGGAGCGCACCCAGAAGCACTGACCACAAAACGAGCTCATACGTTACTTTTTCACACGTACAGTGGATATAAAAAGTGTAAAACACCTTTATTAAACCGTCATGTTTTCACAATGGAAAAATAACAGAATCTCAAGAAATCATCTACATTTTCAGCATGTAAATGTAAATATCTGGTGTCAGCTGTGTGTGTGCCTGTCTGCCCTTCAGTAACCACATTTAAAGACTAAAAAGAAGAAAAAAGTTTACTAAATGTTTAATCTAAGGTCCTTTAATAATGAGTCCCCATTATAGGTTCTCTTCAGATTACATACAATCTTTTCCACCATTTTATTACTTTCTTCTTTGTTAAATGCCACAAAAGCTTTTCCAGGCCAATAACAGTGCAGCACATCTGTGAAATACTTCAATTGTGGATACAACCGTAAATATTTCTGTTAAATTTCTTTTAAATTCCCCATGAGCCACTTCAACTTCAGGATGATGGCCATTTCTCAAGATGGCCGCCGCTTTTGAGGCTTGAAAACCAGTTATTGCAATAAAATGTGATCCATTTTCACCACTGGGATTAACTTTATCACATCGTATGTTTTTGATTTTGGTCATTCTAAATTGAATGTGATATGAAGCAAAATCAGATATAAAAGCTGAAACTGAGAACTAGCTGTTAGCGATGAAGATGTGACAGAAACAATTGTCTCAATGGCTAATGTTAGCTTCTGCTCAGTTTTGTTTTTGCAGAGCAGCATAGCTTGAACTTATGTGTAAAATGTAGCAGTATAGCATTAGCAGAGCAAAATATTTTGATGTGTTTAGTGGTTAAGCGTTAGCTTGTGCTAAGTTTTTCATATATTTAGCAGTTTAGAGTTAGCATGCACACATTTTCATGTATAATTAGTAATTTTCAATGACATTTGTGTAGTTAAGCTCTTCAGTGTAACTGCTGCCAATTTTGGCCCAAAGTTCTCAATTACAACCACTTTGAAAAATGTCCTCCAGAAAAAGGAACACAAGATCAATAAAATGTATGTATAATTTCTATGGTTTAAAATATGTTGGCTGTGATTGAACACCAAACACAATAATTTAATTGGTGATTTTAGTGCAAAAATGTATTTTCCTTCTTGAAAAATGGTCGCCATGTTGAATTTTTCAGTGGCTAATTTTCTTTTCCCCAATAAAGTTATTCCTGCTGCACTATAAGATTGAATAATGTCATTTTTATCTGGTCTTTCCAGAAATGTTAATGTCAGCTGGACGTAATGAGAACTTCAGAGAAAACAGTGTTACGTTTGGAATAAACTAGAAACCATTAAAATATTGTCAGGCAGTGACATCAGAGAAATTTATCCAAGATTGGAGATGAAATAATTTGTTTGGACATCAACATTGGCAAGTTGACAGAAATCTCCTGTGTTTTCCAAATGTCTGGAGTTGGAAAATTTCCCAAAGCCTTTCAGAAGAAAATATGAAGCAAAATAAAACGATAACTTCTGTGCCATAATTGTAAAACTGTCTCACACAGAAACAACACTGCACATCACCACAGAACACCAGACTCACAGTGAAACATGTTGGTAGTTATTTATACCCACAACTTGAGTTTTTCGTTAAACTGAATGAAGGCATGAATGGTTCCAACAGCAGTCAGTTTAAACACAATAAACTTCAGGTATTTGTTGAAACAGCTGAAGATGAAAAGGATACATCCAACCATATAATGTCTTCTGAAGAGGATGGTCTAGTCAAAGTCCATAGCTAAATCTGACAGAAAAAACTGTGATTCCCCAGATGTGGTCCAACTGAATGTAGAAATTAAAATAAAATGGGATTCCCTTGATTATTAGTTAGAGAATGTGAACACACAGACAAGAAGTTATTGCAACTTTTGGCTCTAAAGTTTCAAAAGTTTTGAAATTATTTATCTTTACTGCTAAAATACAAAATGTTACCACATATTTTTAGTCTAGTTCCTTGTGCAAATATCTTAGTTCACTTGAAATAAGAGAAAACTAACTTTTCTGCAAGAACGTTACTTAATATTAAGGAAATTAATATTGCAGATTATTTAACAAGACATTTTTCCCGTCTTATAAATTAAATAATCTAGTATTTTTCCATCAGTATTAAGGAATTATTGACTTAAAAAGCTCCTATATTTTGATAAGAAGTTACTCATAAGTTAGTTTTGCCTGATTTCAAATGTATTAATATAGCTGCACCAGGAACATGACAAAAATATTCAAGATTTTGTATTTTTGGAGGATTTATTTTTGTTTCATCACAAAAACATGGCAGTTAAACGATCCATCTCCACTATTTGGATGACATAAATGTCCTCTTTCCTCTCTCAAGTTCCCTGCATCAACCTGGGAACCAGTTCAACGTTTGACCTTTTTTCCCTTTACTTGTTTCCCTGTTTAAGAAACTAAAAAGATTTAACGAGTCCTTTCCACATGTGCCCTCTCTTTCTACTGAATACTGACGGCGTTTTTCAGTGAGGTAAAAATTAATAAATCATCATGCAAATATAAATACAGTAAGACCCAGATGTGGTAAACAAAAGCTGAGAGTGGTTCTCAGAGGTTATGAGATTCCTGCCACAGCGTTGCAGGAAAACAAAAAGAGAGACTACAAAGTTACTGCATCGTTCTACTTTTACCTTCCATCGAAGCAGGATTTCATCTCACTGCAACTACCATGTTGTTAATGTGAAAGCTGAATCTCATTTGTCACGTCTGCAGATCTAACTCTGAAATATTCCCAGACGTTTTACGGAGGTAAGAGACTAGTGACCTTCTGGACTGCATCTGCACTTTTACATCGTTAGTAATCTCTCTCTGGGGAGGAAGAAAAAGTTCTGCGGCGTCTTCAGACTGCGAGGCCGGAGCAGCGTGTGTGCTGAGAGTGAGAGGAGAGGCTGTGTGAGTGCTGGCTGGTCTCCAGGTTCTGCAGATCCTCCATCATCTCCTCGATCAAAGGAGGCATGGAGCCGGGGATCTCCATCTTCAGTGTCACAACGCGCTCTGCTCCTGCAGGAACGCACACAGCGCCTTTCAATAGACCTCAAAGTTACAGTATTTTTAGGGCTATAAGCCGCTACTTTTTCCCCACGTTTTGAACCGTGCGGCTTGTAGCCCGTTGCGGCTTTTCTGTGGATTGTTCTTCAACCAGCAAAGCTGCTATTCACTCTCATTCAGAGGGGAGAATAAAGGTACTCAAGTAAGAGTAGCACTACTTCAACAAATCCAAAAGTCAAAAAGTATTTTAGTTATTAATCATTTAATGTCTAAAACCACTCTGGTCATTTTAAAGACCAAAATGATTCATACAAAATAACAAAATCAGGCCAAAGAAAAATGTTTCCTAATCATTTTATTTCTCTAGAAAACTGATGAAACTTCAACAAAAACTGCAGGTATGTGTCTGGAGGATTTTTGTTTGTTTTTCATTCAGTGGGTACAAAATCCAGAAATTTAACTCAAGTAAGAGTAGAAATACTTCACAATAAAACTACCAAAGTAAAAGTAAAAAGTAAGGCATAGTAACAATATGCCTGACTTTTTACAAGATGATGGCCATCTTGAGAAATGGCCATCATCCTGAAGTTGAAGTTGAGTAATTTTTTACCCCCCTGCTCTTGTTGCAGTTCACCTCTTTGACAGTAGGGGTCCCTATTAGAATGAAAATAGGGACAACAAGTTGTAGCCATTTATATATGAGACTTTTAGACGAAACTTTCTAATTTTGCATCTTCTTTTTTGTTTTGTAAAAACAAGTACAAGTAGCGATACTTCAAAATAAAATCACTCAAGTAAAAAAGAAAAGTACAGTGCAGTAAAAATAGTCTTAAAAGTCATTAAAAAAGTTACTCAAGTTACTCAAATGTAACATTTGTTATAGAAAACCAGGGTAAGATTCTTGATTTAATTAAATGTTCTGGTTGTTCTCACCTTTAGCGCTGATGCTGCGCAGGTCGGTGATCTTCATCAGGGCTTTGGGGAACATCAGGGGCATGCTGGGTCGGCGCCGCCGCGAGTAGATCTTCAGCGCCTCCAGCAGCGGCTCCTGCAGCACCTCCACCTTTGACGGCTCCTCCAGGTCCTGGCGATCTGTTTGCCACAGAGACGCGGTTACCTCGGGCGGCGGCGAAGCGTAACTCACGTGTGAGACGGGCCGGTACCTCCGGAGACGAGGCAGATGGCGCTGAGCAGCCCGCTCTCCGTCTCGTCCATCTCCAGAGGAAGCAGCTGACCGGCAAACGTGAAGACCTGGTCGGTGAGCGGCCCGAAGCCGGCGTTGTGGATCTGAGTGCGGGTCAGAGTCAGGCCGTCGGAGAACGTCATGGTGTCCTGGTCCGGAGTGTAGCGAGTGCAAATCCTGAGGATCTGAGACAAGAAGAAAGAAAATATCACTGCTCATACCAAGTCAGAAAGATTTTATTAATTAATTTCCTCCTCCTGTTACTCTTTCTTTCCCTCTTTCATTTCCATCCTTCCTCCCCTACTTCTTTTTCTACTTCCTTCCTTCTTTCTTTGCTTTTTCCCTCCCTTCCTTTTCTCCTTTTTCCCCTCCTTGTCTGCTTCTTTCCTCCATTCCTTTATTCTTTCTTTCCCTTCCTCCTTCTTTCCTTCCTCCTTTTTGTCTTTTCTGATATAAAATTAAATACAATTATTTGTTCTAAGCCAAAACACAAGTGAAAACTAAAAATTATGCCATATATATTTTTATTATTATTCCCATTTACATGCCATAAATATAAGTTTTATTCAGAGAATCAGAAAGAAATCATGAGCAGCTATCGTTATGTGTGTTTCTGCAATATGCCATATTGGCCAGTTACTGGTAATTTTGGTCCATTTTCAAACGTAGACAATGACAGTTAGACATGAATGCCCTCAGTGTGAAGCAGATAAAAACAGATGTGGTTACCAGGATGTCAAGGCAGGCGGCTTTCAGCAGAGTGATCTGGTCGGCGATGGTCAGGCCTGTGAAGCCTGGGACTCTCTTGGCGAACTCCACCACCTTGATGATGCACTTGGTGGCAAGCTCGCTGAACTTGTCCCACAACCCGAGGTCCAACTGGATCCGGTGGTCTGAACTGGAGTTCTGTGTGGAAGAGGAAACGCAAACAGTGTCTTCAGTCCTCAAAGGATACAGGAGGAGTTTAAAATGATCAAAAACAAATTCAGTGTACAATTATGATTGGGATTTTTTTTAAACAGACGATGTACACCTCCTGCATCATCATTTTAAGATTTTCTTTCTTTTTTTAACAAATGTTTTTGCAATCTTTAAAACATGCTGATCAATAGTACTGAAGGATTGTATTTTGCAGTTTTGTTTGTTACTCACTAAACTTTTATTTAAACATAGGTAGAAAAGCTTTAAAATGCAGCCAAAATACAAAAAAAAAAAAAAAACCAACAACATGATAACTTCAGAGAAATGTTTATCAAGATCAGTTTAAAATAGTGGTGAAAGTATGACTGCTTGGAGGGACATTTTAAAGAACCCAGGGTGACTGGAGTGTTATAAACGTCCTAATGCGGTTTGTTTTTCTTCCATGATGAATTTAGTGTTTTACATCAGGCACCTTGTTAGACAGCTCAGGGGTCCTCAGAGATACGTTGAACCTTTAGCGGTTCTGTTAAAAAATATAACAGTTCCTTAACGATTGTTAACTAATGCTTTGATGTGTAAATTTTGGTGCTAATATTAGCTTTGCAACTCGTTTATTTAATGTTTCGTTTATTAAATGTTTTTAATTTCTTCTCTGTTATAAGCTGGCATTACCTTCATAACGGTGTTTGTTTGATGCTAATTGGCTAGCCTAGCCTTCTGTCATTTTTCAGTTGAAGATAAGTTCTTAGGCTTAGTTTGTAAATCAAGTACACTTTCTACTTTCTATATTGTTTGTTTATTTCAGCTACCAAGCAAAATGAAACAGAGAAACTGTCGAACCATACTGTAAATTTATCTGAACAGAGGGGAGCAGATTCACAGTAAGATGTCTCACTACAAGCAGAATTTTTGTTGTTTATGAAAAAGCTGACTTTGGTTAAGTAAATAAATAAATAAGTAAAATTCTCACACATGAACGGATTCCAGACCAGGAAGTGGCATTTCTAAAAGATTCCCAGGTATTCAGTAGCCTAGTAACATTCCCTTTTGACACAGAACAACAAACCACAAGTATGTGGAGCATTATTATGTTCCTGGATAAACCAGAACAACTTATGTAACAGTGATGACTGGAACCTGTCAGGCTTTCCTCATACTGCTGGGTGCGTGTGACTCATCTAATCACACAAAAATTGTTTTAAAGTGGATGACAAGGCTAATATATATATACATGTTAAAAATCAACCCCAGCTCTAAAGACAATACAATTTAAACTTTTTCCTGTAGTTTTAGATGATATTTGTTTTGTTTTTTCATGTAATCTTTACTTGAATGATTTGACGCACATACTGTTGTGCGTCAAATCTGCATTAGTCATGCAGTACACAAATATGACGCAGACAGAGACAGTAGTGTAAAGAAAGCAAAAGAACACGTTTAAAATTTACTACAAGCTCACATGGCAGGGCCTAGCAGCTTTTTCCATTTAAAATGACACTTTTGCCCCTGCTGCTACAAAATAAAATTATTTTCTACAAATAGTTTTACTATGAAAGCTAACAATGTTAAATTAAACTTTATTTCTATTTACAGATTTTGCAACAGAATCCTCTATTACAAAAGAAAAAACCCCAAAGGTTTCTAGAATCTGGAGAGCCTATTCTCTAAAGATGGATAGTGAAGAAAGATAGGAAGCATAGCGTCGAGATAGCTACTTTTAAAACATTTGTAGATAATAAAAGCAGCCAAGTGGTGGAGAAAGAACTAAAAAAAATTTGCCTGTAAAAGTACAAATACACAGACGAAAATGTACTTTAGTGAAAGTAAAAGTACCACTTTTACTCATTTTACTTGAGTAAAAGTAAATAAGTACAGGCTTTTAAAAATCCTTAGATTTTAAAAGTCAAAGTACTCACAGAATGCTTTACCTAATTGCTAATACAATAACATTAAGTGTACTGATTGTATTTAATTTTAATACATTCGTAATGTGCCGTTTTAATGAACAATGCCATAGATGTTTTTATTGTGTTTACTCTCTGTGACAGTTTAGACTTAGATATGTGATTCTATGCATCATAATTTCAGGGATGGGAGTAATGCGACGGTTTTGTAGAAATGTAGTGAAGTAGAAAGTCAAAAGTATCCATTATTAAATCTACTTAAATGAAAATTGTGCTTAAGTCGTTGTCTGAGTCCAGCTGCGTTTTATTCCCATCCCTGTTCCTATAATTAGCGCCCATCACTCCCAGTGACTCACTGAGCCACAGTTATGTAACAGAACAGTGTTTTTGTAAAGGACACTCCAGATCAACGTGCATTTCTTTAATTAGTGAGTCATTATTACAGAAACGTGTTCTCTTCCTGTAAGAGGTGGACGCTCCTGATTTGTTGCATGAAGCGTCTCGTATTTGACATAATTATCACAAAACTCATTGTTGAAACTTGACTTATTTAAAGATGCTTGTTTGTATTTATTTTCTTCTTCAAACAGAAAATCATTTTGGAGATGCTGCTCAAGGCTAAAATGGCTTTTACAACTGAATCAAAGGGTGTACTTACTTTTTAAGACAGATTTAAAATAAGATTTTATTTTGTTGTGGTAATTATAACTCAACAACTGCTTTTGTAGCTGTATGTAATGTAATACTATTAAGTAATTTAATTAGAAATAAAACAATACTGTAATTACATAACAATTGTTGCACACAGTTTTATGCCTGTTTGCCGAATTTAAAGACAAATTAACAAATGAGAGAAGTTTCCTCTGCTGCAAAAACACAAAATCTTACAAAGTATTTTGGTTTAGTTTCTAGTACAAATATCTCATCAATATTAAGGAATTATTAACCTAAAATAAGCTCCTACATTGTCTGGACAACGTATGTTTAATTTGTGTTGTTCTGCTCAAAGACGACCGAATCCCATCCCCCATCGTCATCGTCAGGTGGAGACGTCCAAAGACGCAGGACGGGTGGAAATGAAGTGAAGCATTCTCCTTCTTGCAGCTGTGTTGTGCTGCATTTCCCCGCTGCATCAGTAATTCGGACAGAAAGTGACAGGAGCAGGCATTTGTTCGGTCGCTCTTCCGCTGAGCTCTGACCTTTCAGAAACGAGAGGCTCTCCGAATAACGACCAGAGCTTTAAATGCCGATTATCTTAAATCCCTCCCTGCAGCGGATCGCAGCAGACGCCCCGACGTGCTACCACAATAATCCCAGAGAGGAAAAGCTGTACGAGTTCAAAGGTCGACGGCTCACAGCTCTCGGTGTTTTAGCTGCTTCTGTGAATATTTTATATGCTTAATGTCATTCTGTTGTTTACATTTTTACCTCAGTCTTGTTTTTGTACAAAGAAATATACTGCTTCTATATCTAATTATACACTGTAAAACATTTGCGTTGAGTCTACCATCTTCTACTATGAACAGTTTAGGACAAGAGACTCCCAATGGAGTCATAATGGATAAAAACAGCTGGACATGGAGGAACTGGTTTCATTTCTCTGAGCAGTTCTGGGTATCCAGACAGAATTATTTAGTTTTTTGTGTTCAGGGGTTCTGTCGGACTCACTGTGGTGTATTTCCCCAGCTGGCAGAGGGAGGGGAAGGTTTCTCGATGCGCCCTGCAGATCTTCTCCACGATCAGGCCGAGCTCGGCCGTCAGCTCGTACGTCTCCATGATGGTCATCTTCACCGCCTCCTTCTTGCCTCTCCGCCTGTTTCTGTCATTTCTCACCGCTGGGAAAGAGGAATGGAATAAAAAAAAAAATGTTAACAGAATACAGCATTCAGGATTGTTCAAAGGGTGGCTTGAGGGCCATTTGACTGATTTTGTGAGGCCTCTGACAAAAATTTGTTATGCTTCTTTGAACCAGTTAGGACAGGTCTAAGTGTTAAACATATTCATTAAATTTTTTCCTCAAAATGATTCTGAGATAGTTTGATTTCTGCTTGGTCAGTTGAGGTCCTTCAGAACAATGAGATGTTCTGAAGGACATCTCAAGTCACTTTAAATCCAAATAACCAGTTGCTGGTCACACACTCAACATTTACACTTGCATGTGAAAATTGCTGCAAACAGAACTGCAATCACACATATTTGAAAAGCACTAGTAGAGCCTCCTGCACAACCCACAAGAATGAAACAGGTGGTTTCTGGAAGTCAACAACTGCACTCATTATAAAGCGATAAAACCAGCTGACCAAATGTGCTGGAGCTCAGCCTGGGTTGCTAGATTATGGGCAGGGTTTGGCTGTGGTTGCTAGGTAACAGTGCTGTGCCTCTTGACTGTGACTTTACTTTTGAAAGGGCTCATTTTCCAGACACCAAGAAACATGAACTTATTTCCAAAAGATGTCTGTGTGTTTTAAGTACTTGGGCTGCTTTTATAAGCAGTTAAGACCCAAATGGAAAGATAAAAAGGCTCAAAACATACATTTTGCATAATGGCTTCCTTTTAAAAATGGTTCACATTTTGTCCCCCAGCACAGGCGGTGAGTGCAGATGCAGATATTTTTTATTTTTAATCATTGCAAAGTTATTCCCAGAATCTTAAAATCTTCTGACATTGGAAAGATGTAGGTACTTAACAAAATATTAATCTATTAATAACCACATAACCATTAGCTGCATTTTTAGGTTATGAATCAAGCCTAATTTCACTGACGTGACAAATCACCAAGGATTAAATTACACTGAACTATTTCCAGTGACTAGAAAAGTGAGAAGCCTTAAAGCTCGTCACAACAGAACCGTTCTTTCAATTCCTGTTGAAGAGTTCACTATAAATAAAACCTGTTAGTTAGAACAAGCTGAGATTCACAGAAACTCCTATTAGTTCAGAAATTACTTTTGCTGTTTTGTTTTTCTTCAGTTTTTTTGTTTTGTTTGTATTTCCTGTAATTCATGCAAAGCACTTTGAAATGCCTTGTTGCTGAAAATGTGATATATAAATGAAATTACCTTACATACCAACTCAAAGCTATCTAATGCAACTTTATTTAAATAGCACCTTTCAGCCAGAGGCAATTCAAAGAAAAAAAATACAAAAAAAAAGCAGATAAAAAAAAGAAGCAGAAGTAAATAAACTTTATTTGTACATAAAAATTATATATTTTATTACTTATATAAATAAATAATTTAGTAATAAATTTATTTTTGAAAACATTTCTATTAAATAATAGAAATGTTTTTTAAAACTAGTCCTTCAGCTTTGTTTTTATTTTGTCTCGTCTGTGTCAGTGAATGCAGCTTGCAGGTCTCTGTGTGTAAATATACAGGTTAGTCTTTTATAATCGCTTTGGTGTCGACACGTTTTGGGTCGTCCCACTGACTTGGCTCAGGCAGCTACGCACATGTCAGGGAAGCTCAGGATTACGCAACAGCTCAGCCTCCACCTTCCTCCCTCCCTCCAACCGCCAGCTCCTCCTCCTCTCCCTCCTCCTCCGGATGCCCTAAATCCAGCAGTCATTTGGTAAACAGACGGCGATCGCATTACACACTTACCGAGCGGCCTGGGAGCAGTTACACCGTGTACAACTGTCTCATACATGTGATGTGTTTATGTAATGCGTTTGCGTGAGTAACAATGAGAAAATGAAACTGGGTGGATCCTGAGTCCTGCAGCCTCCTCCTGCCATGAAACACATTCTCAGTTATCTAGGTCACTGCATCGCACAGCTCCGCGCTGCTCACTGAGGCGCTGCTCACACTTACTTAGTGCATGTTTTTGTAATTAATCTCAACATTTCTGACGGTTTGCAAGCAAATATTCGACTTTTCAAACTGAAATTTTGACATTAATTTCAGAAATTTTCTATAAAAAAATAAACTTTTTCAGCAAATACTTGACTTTTCAAACCAAGAAATGTCATTGTTTTTTTCTGTGATATTTCTAAGAATAATCTCATAATTTTACTTTTTCTAGCAAATATTTGCTTTTCAAACTCAGAGATTTTAGATTAATTTTAGAAATTTTCTACAAAAAAATCAATAAAATTTCAATTTTTTCAGGCAAATATTAAACTTTTCAAAGTCAGAAATTTTGTTGTTTTTCTACAAAATTACTGAAATTAATCTAAAATTTTCTGATTTTTTCTAGCAAATATTCAACTTTTCAAACTCTGGAATTTTCAGAATTTTTTTTTAAAGTTTTTTAGATTAATCTCAGAATTTCAGAGTTCATTCTTAGAAATATTCTAAGATCTCTGCAATGTCGAAGATATTATTTGTCTTCAGTCAAATGAAACCCTTGATTAAACGAAAATAATGCTGAATCTAAATGTACCAGGGCTGTTATTAGTTTTATCCTAACTCTGGATCCACGGTAAGTCGTGTTCAGTTCTGAATGGTGTCTGTAGCACTTTATGCATTCAGCTCCAATAACCTCAACCAATAGAGTACAGGAGAGCCTGGATGCAGCCTGAAAGGCGAGAATCAGGGCAAAAGCTCCTCTGGCGTCATCCTGTCCTGAATGCGGCGCGGTAAATGGGCCACTAAGCTGAATGTTTGATCATTTTTACCCAGGCAGAGTGTTTCAGACAGAGGAGACTCTCGTTCAGCTTTTTGCTCAGTGGACTGTTCAGATTCAAGCCGGCAACAGTTGGAGTTGAAAGGACGAACTCCTTTGGCTGGATGCGCCGAAGCCTCAGGCTGAAGATGGAGCTCTGAGCGGTTTTAAAAAAAGGGAAAACATCCTTTGCAAACAGATGCTTGTTGATCTTTTTAATGGGTGTTTTCCCAGTAAATGGAGCTATTAATAACGACTTCCTGTTTCTTAAAGTTTAAATTTTAAATGTGTTTTTACGATGGAAGATTAGGATCGCTGTAGACGGAAAAGAAGGATTACATTTATAAAAACATTAAAATGTTTGCTTTGGCTTTTGTTTCATGTTTAGAATTTAAATGACTGTTTTATGTTATAACTTGAATTACCTGCATATGGTGTTAATATATTGTTGTGTTAAAATGAGAAATAAACCATAATTTAAATTTCTGCAAGAAAAATAAAATGTTCTAGAAAAACAAAGAAAATTTCTGACTTCCAAAAACTGAAGATTTGCTAGAAAATTCTCAGAAATTGTGAAATTGTTCTCAGAAATCTTCTAGTAGAAAATGTCTCAATAGTTGTGTTCCAAGTTAGAAAAAAATCATATTTAAAATTTCTGCCAAAAAACATAAATGTTCTAGAAAAATCAAGAAAATTTTTGATCTCCAAAAATTTTAAATGTGCAAGACGTATGAATTTTGAAATTAATCTCTGAAATGTTATAGAAAAACCAATAAAATTTCAGAATTTGAAAAGTCAAGATTCTAGAAAAAACTATTAAATTTCTGAGTTTGAAAAGTCAAATATTTGGTAAGAAAATTTTTTTTTTTTCTAGAACATTTTTGACGTTTCAAAATAAGAAATTTTATTGTCTTAATACCAGAAATTTTGTAGAAAAACAGCAAAATTTCTGAGTTGCAAAGTCAAATATTTGTTGGAAAAAACCCTGAAATTTTGATATTAATTTCTGAAATTTTGATATTAATCTCTGAAATATACTATAATGTAAATTTATTCTTCAAATCATGATTTTTACTCCTGAATTGCAGGTTATTTTCCCCAGTGAGTCTCTAATGGGGCTTTCTGCTGAATCAGCGTAAAACCAACACTTACACTCTTTGGACATTCCCACGGCGAAGCACTTCTGCAGGCGGCAGTACTGGCAGCGGTTCCTGGTTATCTTGTTGATGATGCAGTTTCTGTCACGGTGGCAGGTGTACGCCATGTTTTTCTGCACGCTGCGGCGGAAGAAACCCTGCAGAGACACACAACAGATTGTCTCAGTCAAAGGAAATTCTTGCAGTTGTCTTGTGGGAACTTCAAATGCTTAAAGGTTCAATTTATAGTGGAACAAAAAGTCCAAACGCCTCCTGGCAGGTGGTTTTAAGGTTACCTGTTATGCTGCATTGAACGGGTTAGGATAGATCTATGAGGTGTTTAAATATGTTCATTACTTTCTTTGCACAAAATCAATCTTACATAATGAGATTTTAGTCCTCATATTTTGAGATTTTTTCAGAATGAACTGCTTTAGGGGCTCTTGTCATTTTAAATCCAAATAATTTGCTGTTAGCTCCTGAACATGCATCTCTAAAAAGCAGAAGTGGAGCCTCCTGCACAACCAACAAGAATGCAGCAAGTGGTTTCTGAATGACAAGTCAACGCAAAACATTTGTCTTTTCCAGTAGCCATTGTACAGCGCATACAGCAGTAAAACCAGCTGACCAGATGTGCTGGAGAACAGTTTGGGTTGCTAGGTGGAATTCCGCTGCGGTCGCTAGGTAACGGCGCAGTTCTTTTGTAGCTCAACATTCGGGAGGTTTTTGAAATGGCCCATTTTCCAGACACCAAAAAACCTTAACTTACTGCCAATAAACAGCTGAGTGTTGTTTTGAGAGTTTGATTTGTTTTTAGAAGCAGTTTAGATCCAAATGGAAGAATAAAAATGTACAAAATGTTAATTTTGCATAAAAATGAGGCCAAAGCCTCTCAGTTTCACCTTCAGTGTGACCTGTAACTTGTGCAGCTGACCTAAAGTTTTTTGGGGTTCAAACTGACAAAATTAGCCAACTTTGGGAAAAACGCTCCAGATCTGCCTCCTGTCCACAGATCATCCTGCAGATTCTCAACCAAATGCAGGTCTGCGCTTTGACTGGACCACATCCAAATGGTACTCTTGTTAAAGTGAAGCTGTTGAATGAACAAAGTCTTACCTTGCAGCCCTCGCAGGCGCTGACTCCATAGTGGTAGCCTGAGGATTTATCCTGACACACAAAGCAGGGCTTGTAGGTTCGCGGCGGCGGAGGAGGGGAGGGCGGACTGGTAAACAGGTCATCCAAACTGGAGCTGGAGCTGGAGCTCTGGCTTTCCACTGCTGTGAAACACACAGAGTAACACCGAACAAACCTTATACACACAGCATGTTTCTACAAAAACACAGAGGTAATGGTCATTTTATTTATACAGCACATTTTCAGCAACAAGGCAATACAAAGTGCTTTACAGGAATCAAAAGGAAATACAAACAGAATGACAAACCAAAGAGCAAAAGAAGAAAAAGCTACTAATGTTGATCCAGATTCACACAAAGACAATACCTGCAGGGAGACAATACCTGAGGTCAAAGTTCAACAGGAACTTCAGGATTTACTTTAGAAAGATTTCTGGTCAGATGTGCGAAGTGGCATTACAGAGAAAAACAACTAACGATTATTTTAGTAATCGATTAATCAAATATTTAATCTGAGATTTGTTTTACCGAATCGGAACCAGATGAAGCTAAAACTTCGACACTTTAGCAGTTATAAGTTAAACATATATTCAAAAAACTTATTTCTATCTTAAATGTAAAATGTATATATTTTTTGTACAGATTTAACTTAATCGCTGCTCTGAATGTGTTGTTCTCAGCAAATTGCTTTTTTTTTTTAGTTCACGGTTATTTTAGAAATTGATTAATTGATTAATTCTGATTACATCCATAGTGACTCTTTGTTTCTAGGGTTTTTTCAGACATCATGTTTTACATCCACGTTGGTATCTGCAGAACTTTCCTGCTGCACAGCTTTTTATTGTCATTAATTGTAAATAGTTTGTATATTTTTTGATTTATCAGCTCAGTTGCACTTTTCTCTGCACTAGTTTTTATAAATACTTGGTATTTATGTTTAATTTTTTTAGATTACTTGCAAAGAAATTTCCCACTGTGGGACAATAAAGGATATTTATATTCTATTCTATTTGGGGCTGTAATGATTAATCGTGATTAATAAATTATTTAAATAATTATCAATTAATCTACTAATATTGTTAACTGGTCGTCTCCAGTTCATGGGGTTTCTGTCTTTTGTCTAAACAAAATAAAGAGAAATTTCAGTTTGTTTACCTATCACGGCAGGAGGATTATAATCTGCACTAATCTGATCGGTCTTTATCTGTGATCCTGAAGCAGAGACAGAAGAAGACATTCCTGCCCCCACTAAGCCTCTCAAGCAGCTTGAACTCGTTAAATGTGGAGCCATTTGTCTGGCACACAAAGCAAGATAAAACTACAAAGTGGGACTGAAAAACCGATGAGAGTGAGGACTCTGTCACCATAAATGATTCACTTAGAGTCACAAAGCAGCAGCTGCATGTCATTTTATTTCTTCTGATTAAAAAAAAAAAACAAACATCCAGCATACCTGCAGCTACACTGCAAAAACAAAAACTCTTTCCAAGTATATCTGGTTTAGTGAAAATATCTTTCTACACTTGAGCTTAAAAACCAAAAATAGTTCAAAAACTTTACATGTTTGCTTTTAATTTGGACTGAATTCCAGCTGACCAAATATTGTGAAGGTGAATGATTCTGTGCTCAAGCTGAACATTAATCACTGCAAAAACACAAAATCTTTCTAGGTGCTTTGGTTAACTTTTAATGCAAATATCTTAGTGCACATTAAATAAGATAAAACTAACTTGCAGGTAAATTTGTAGCAAGGAAATGGTCATTTAATTAAAAAAAGCACCAGTTCCACTGGCAGATTATTTAATTTATGACATGGGAAAAATGTATAATCTACCAGTGAAACTTTGATTTTTTCATGAATATTTAATTATTTACTTAAAAAGGCCCTATAGCGCACATAAAAGTTACTTATAAGTAGTGTTGTTTTATTTAGATATTTGCAGTAAAAAGTAGACCAAATATAGTACGACGTGTTTTTTAATGTCCAGCTGAGATTCAATCCAATTTAAAACCAAGCATGAGGATCATGTAAAGTTTTCTTCCTATTTTTAGTTTTTAAGCTCATGATTCAGTGACCTACACTGCAAAAAAACAAAATTTGACCAAGTATTTTTGTCTAGTTTCTAGTAAGCATGTGTCAAACTCGAGGCCTGGCGGCCAAATGTGGCCCGCCGCAGCCTTTTATGTGGCCCCCTGGACTCCAAATTACATCAATAAATCCTCAAAATTCACACAAAATCAACAGATACCCACTTTTTTAAAATGTACTGCTAATTTTTATCCAAATTGGTCAAAAGCAACTGACTGCTCCTTCATGTTGATTTTAAGTTATCGACTGTTACCGATACGGCGAGAAATAAAAAGTCACATTTAACATCATACATTGGCGCAAATATAAACATTCCTTACAGACATTTCTAAATTAGCATCACAAAATGTGTGATTTTGATTACAAAAAGCCACAAAAACAATCACAAATCCAGGAGGGACAGTATTTATTAGCATTTTAGCAGTTTAATGGGTTTTATCGATACGTTCTGGAACAACTGGCCCTTTAAGAGCGTTCGGATTTCTGATACGACCCAAAATGAAAATGAGTTCAGTACTTTTAAAAAATATATATTATTTACTGAAAACAAGGTCCTTTGTCTCGCTGACTTGTAACTTAATTTTCTTATTTTTAAGTGAACTAACATATTTGCTCTGGAAACGAGCTCAACAATACTTGGTAGGACTTTGTGTTTTTGCAGTGCAGTCGCCTTCACTCTCATCCCTCCTGATTTCCTCCAGCGCAGCTCGTTTGGGTCGACCCGTTTCTGATCGCCTTCTCTGCTGCGTTCCTCAACAGGAAAGCGAGAAAAGCTCTTCAGAACAGGGAGACAAAATGAGAAAAATTGCTCTTCTCCGTCCCCTTGGATCCGCGGCCTCTGACTGAACCTGCAGTCGGCGGGTCCGATGAGGAAACCCCCATCGAGTCGACGGTTTCCCCAACGCAGAACAATACCGGAGCGCGCCACGGGCCACGCTGACTGATGAGGAGGAGGAGGATGAAGGCAGCGTGGGCGGGAGGTAAACAATCACCCCCCACTTGGATTAGGTGCTGCTGTGTGAACTTTGGCAAATAATCCATGGGATTTTGTTCAAAGGCAAAACAAAAAATCCTACCAAGTGATTTTGGTTGAGTTCTAAGTGCAAATATGTCAGCATGAGACAAAAGTAACAGAAAGATATAGGAGACAGTTTTAATTACTTTTTTCCTTAATATTGATGAAATAGTTCCAGTTTCATTGGCAGATTATTTTATTTACAACAAAACTTTTTTCCCATGTTGAAAGTGAAAAAATCTGCAGAAACTTTTTTATCAATATCAAAGAATTATTGACTTAAAACAAGCTGCTGTGTTGCTGAAGTTACTTGTAATTGTTCTGTAGTATAAGATGAATTAAAATACTTTGATTTCAGTCATTAAATTGTTAATCAAATCAATTTATTTATACAAACTAAGAAAAATTGTTCATCAAGAAAACAATTCAATATTTCCTGTTGAAATATTGAATATTTAATCAAAAATGTTGAAATCATGTCACAGATACGTTTTCAACATTTAAACACTTTTTTATAAAGAGTGTTTTATTTATTTGTGTATTTTTTAATTGATTATTCTGACCAGGATTCAAAGAAAGCTGTGATTTTTTTTACTCAACATTAAAAGTCAAAATAATAAATCTAAACTCAAAATACGTCTAAAATGATGTAAAATAGGAGAGAGAATAATTACTGTCGTGTATTGACCATAAGAGAGTCTTGTTTGCAATGGCACATGACTGTATTTTCACAATCTGAATTAAACTTTTGGTAAAAAATAAAAAGCTTGTAAAATAGAGTGAAATGTAAAAATCGCCAGTAATCATTGGAAATATATATATTTCAAATAAATGAGGCATTTCTAAAGTTAATTTATGTGCCATTCAAAGCCCAGTAAATCTTTACTTCCTGATTTATGAAACCAGACAGAAACTGTGTCACACGTTTGGATTTTACTCCCAGTTGCACAGTTGATGCTTTCTGAACTGGTGCTGAACTGGTTCTCCACTTCCACTTTCACTGGAAAGCTCCCCTCTCACCTCCTGAGCCAGTGACCGTCCCGTGAACCCGCCGGTGACCCCCAGCTGACCGGCTCTGCCCCGTCCCAAACGCAGACCACCACATGGACCCGCGTTCACACTCTGCTCTCTGCTGACGGGCCTCACAGTGACCAGATGACGACCGGAGGGCGGGTAGAACCTCGCTCTGGGTCCGGACCGGCCTTCAAAGCTGCTTCTGAACGCTAATTTATCCCACAACACGCAGTCAGTGGGTTACTGCATGCTAAGGCTAAATCGATTAATCAAATTAATCACAATTAATCGATTACTGAAATAATCGTCTGCTAATTTAGTAATCGGTTAGTCAGAATATATAGACTCAAAAAAAAGGTTTTCTGAAACAATAACACACTTTGAGGAGAAAACAACAAAACTGAACAAAAATACAGATATTTAATAAGTTTTTGTGTAAAAATCTTCTAACCAGAACTCCTCAAGCAGCTTCACCTGGATCAAATTCTGCAAAATTCAGAGCTGTGGTTCAATTATTAATTGGTTAATTGAAAAGAAAAAGTAAACAAACACACACTGTGTATTGTTTTGCTGCAGATGCATCCTTTGCTACAAATGATCAAAGATTCACTAAGAAAATCCTGTTTTCTTATTTTATAAAAGGAATTATATGTTTATTTGCAACATTAAGTGCATTTTTTATAATGAATAAAGAAAAATCTGCCACTTTAAATCCGATTAATCGTTAGCTCAACAGATTAATTGATAATGAAAATAATCGTTAGTTTAAATGTGATTTGTGGCATTTTGAATGAAATCTTACAATTTCAAACTTTTGCTTTTGACCAAATTTTGAAAAATAGGATCAGATTATACTGTATAATTTTAAATTAACAGACTATGAACAGTTTTAGGCAATAACTTGAATATAAGAGAAGCTTTACAAAGAGATAATAATTAATACATTTAGTATTGATTTTAAAATCACTTCATATAAAATGATTGTTTTATACAAAAGCCCTATTCACAACGTAATTTTTGACTATTTTTGCAAAAATAAAGGAGAAACTAATATTAAGAAACAACAACTGCTGAAAATTTGGCATGCAAATAAAAAAATCGACAAACAAAGAGAAGACCTGTGTAACCATTATATCCACTTTTTTCAATTTTTACCCAAATATATAATAATTTTTCAATTAAAAAAATCAATATGCCACATTTCCCTTCATTACCCTCTCCTCTCAGATTTTTAAATCTGTTTTTGGTAATGACGTGCAGGCCCTTTCTGATGCATGGAAAGAATGAACTGTACTGCAAAGAAGCAGCGCGGATTTTCTCATATAAATGCATCAGAAAAAACACATGCATTATTGTATTACTGGGTTTTCTGTGTGTGTTTAGACCTACACTGCGAGCATCGATGCTCCGGCCAGTCCGACTCGACCAGCTCGGGGAAGAAAGCTGCCAGATCCCGGTCCTGGTCCCGGTCCTGGTCCGGGTCCAGGTCCTGGTCCAGGTCCAGGTCCTGCAGCGCGCAGTCGGGGCTGGAAGTCGAGTAGAAGTCCATGATTTCTCCCGGACCGAAAACCTGAAATTCCATGAAGTCAAACATGACCTTAGCGGAGTCCTGCTGGAGAAGATGCTCTCCTCATGAAGAACAAGAAGACAGAGTCCTTCCTGTTAGTGGCGACTTTCAGTTGTCTCTCCGCAGGTTTACAGCCGGTTGTTGAGGCGCAGACCAGGCAGCAGGAGCATCGCACTATGAGGGGCGTGTGCGCCGGAACAGACCTTTAATTTCCTCATAAAATGCGCGTATTGGCGCGCAGCGTGAGCGCTGGAGTCTTCCGCGCATCCAGGTCTGCTGGTTGTTTTGCATAACAAAGTTTAAATCTTATCTCCGCTTTTTCTTCTTCTTCTTTTTTTTTATTGATAAATGTCTCAACTCAACCTGCTTCGCACTAGTTATGTCACGGCGTGCGACGCTATTACCTAATGTATGCGGCTGAACTCTCTGTGAACCTCCTCCGCTGCTGCCCTTCACATGACCCAGCCTCGGCGTGACGTCACCGCCGGCTCTGGAAACCAGTACCAAACCTCCACAGACCAGTGCAGTGTGGGAAAACATCCAAACCCTCCATTTACGTACAACATATTTTAAAAAGATTCATCTCTGAATCGTTTTACACCGACAACAACAAGAGAGTCAACAAATGCCTACATTACCCATAATGCAGCTGTTTATGTTTGCCACCTTTTAGCTGTAATTAGGAACAGGTGAGTTGGAAATGAAGTTTATCAAAGCATATTTTGATTCATTTTGTTAATAAATATAAAACCTTTAGAGAAAAAAACATTTAAAATAATTATAAAATCCATCTGTTGGCTTTGTTTCACATCTTAAACAAAAAAAGGGAAAATTTAAACCAGTGTTTTAGGTTATATATCTGCCAGATTAAATGCTACAAGCTTCATTCAGTTTAAATTTGTGATTCGATTGTGCAGTAGGTTCTTAAATAAGATGTAAACGCTGTGCAAAATTAACTTCCAGAAAAACCTTTAACTATCAACATTACAGTGGAGTTTTAATCAAATATTGTATCTTTACTTTCCTTGTAAATAAACAAAATGACAAAACAAAAATTTTATAATTTTATATCAAAGATATGTTGACAATATTTGAAACATTTCTGTGTTTTTGATTAAATGATACTTTAAAATCCACTGCTAAATAAAGTGCTTTATTCTTGTTCGGTCTAATATTTGATCGTTTTTTAGCATAAACAGAAAAAAAGTACAGGTTCATGAAATCATAAATTGCTTTAGAATATGATGCAAACTCCCTTGAAAATGGCCGACGCTGTTATTAAAATCCTGCTTGAAATAGATGCTAACAATTAGCTTAGCATAAATAGGACTAGAACCCTTTGCAAAAAAAGCTTGATAATTAAGCATTACATTAGTTATTTAATTGTTAGCAACCGGTTGGGTTAGCATCAATGCTAAAATAAACATGGCGTCTGTTCAAATTCTGGGCAGATCCTTTTTCTTCTTCTGTGGTTTTCTATAAAAACTTACGTAAATATAAGATTTTATGTAAACTTAAAAAAAAAATGTATTGACCAGATAAAATATAATTAGTTGTTTATGTTCAGTGTTTCTTAAAGGGACAGTCACTACATTTTTACAAGAAAACAAAGTTACAAAGCTAAGATTAACATAAAAGTTTGATATTAAATAAAACAGAATACCATACATTACACTGAAAAAAAGAAAACAAATGATTAAACTGTAAAAAATGTGCAGTAATAAAATTATATATCAAAATGTGAATATTTATTAAGTTGTTAAACAAGCATAAATAAATAAAGTCTGATGAATTTAATTTGATTACATGTAAGAAATTAACATGCAATCTAGTGTTTTAGCTCTCATTAAAACATTTCTATGTAGTGAGTAGAAGATTTTAGAGTAAAACTTAGAGAAGGCTTATTTTTTAAATACAAAAGATAAAGAATATCTTTCTTTTACAACTACATGGAGGATTATTTTGATGTAAGGACATTAAACTTCTTACCTCTGAAGTCTTTTTATTTTGGTGGGTTTTACAGTTTTACCCTTAAATAAAAGAAACTTGGTTTTAAAAAGAAAGTACTAAAGTAAAGCTGGAGACTGTTTCCTGCTCTGACATTTTGCGATTAGAACCAAGTTGCTGTGGCCTTTTTTACAGAAATCGATGCAGTTCAAGCCCAGTTTTTCTTCATTTCTGTCTGTCTCGATTCTTGATCCTTGACTTTAAGTGAGAAATATTTTCAGTCTGAGAGATCATAATTAAATCTAGCAGAAGACAAAGTAGGTCAGCAGCAAGACGGCTCTGCGGGTGGGGGAAGGAAACCTCCGCTTTAAATTCATTTAAGGTATTTTCTTTCTTAACTGGAAATAACAAAAAACCACCGAAACAGACCAAAACGCACGAGTGGGATCTGCATATGCATCGTCTGCGTCGCCCAAAATGAAAGCTGAAGTTACTTTGTTTGAAATTATACACTTGATCTCCTTCAATGCCACTGCTAACCCCATTGAGGCGGAAAGGCAGCCCAGCTCCAATGTTAAAAGAGGCTAATTACTCCCAGTATCTCCCACACTCCAGGGAGGCGAGGTCATGCAGAGGACAGGCATGTGAAACATTCCTGCAGCCTGCTGCTGCTGATGGACCTCCCTCCCAGCTCGCTGCTTCCCTCCTCTTCTTTCTCTCCTCATCTTCATCCTCCCCCAGCTCCTCTTCAGGCTCCGTCTTCTGACCCATTAATCACATTTTTACTACTTCAATCCCCCAAATATCACCGTTTCTGTGTTTTCTGCTGAGTTTGTGATGAGTGGACGATCTGTGTGTTTTAGACTGAGGGATGATGCAGTTTGAAAGTGTCAAACTTGAGGCCTGGGGGCCAAATCTGGCCCGCTGCAGCTCTTTATGCGGCCCTCTAGTCAGTAAAGTGTTTAAGGACACTTCAAGATAACAGTGTCCTTAAACACTATATTATCAATCAAATCAATTATTTTATTTGTTTCCTGCCAAATTAAATTACTGTGGAAATTCATGCAAAATCAACAAATCCCTGCACTTTCTCTCGCTGATACATAACTGTAGGCTGTTTATTTGTATATTACATTTGAGCAACAATGATGTCAGAAAGTTTGAAAAGTTGTACTATTATTATTTTACATAATAAATATTAAAAGTCTGAATTTTTAAATAGTTTTTTGGGTTTTGCTGACACCATTTTGCCTTTACATTTGAAAAACATTTTGCCAAATGAAACATATTTACAAACTTTAAGCAATCAAACTGATGATAAAATGGTTAAAAATCCAACATGACTGCGGAAAACTTTTCACATCATGACTCCCATCCTTTGGTTTGTATTTTTACATGAACAGCATCATCAGCGGAGGTTTTGAACTCACTCCGTTTAACTTTGAACTCTTTCCAACCTTATGAATAAAACTCACTACGTCCATTTTTGTGTTCTCAGCATTTTGTCCAAACACATCAACGCACCAAATGGCACATTGTTGGTCATTTGTTCCCCACTTAACAGATTCCTAACCTTCCTTTTGCTTCGTTTTTCTTTTTACTACTCGTTGTAAACCTTAACTTGGGGCTTGGCACCATGGTGGAGTTATTTATTGGTGCTATATATCTGCTTATTTTTACTGTCTCGCTGGATGACGGGGACGTAACTGGTTTAAAAGAGGCTCTTTGGGAGTTGAACTCCTCTTTGAAGTTGGGTTTTATTCCCTAAAGGTTTTCATTTAAACGGCTGGAATCCAAACCTGATGGCCCTGGTTCATTGCTCTGCATTAAAAAAAGGAATAACATCAATAACAATGCAGTAGCTTCTTATCTTGTACCTACATTTACTCAATTACATTTACTTTCTTTTTACTACTCTGCACTTTTTACTTTTATTTGAGTAATTTTATTTTTGAGTAAAATTTTGGATTTTCTGCCCATTGAATGAAAAATAAACAAGTTTTAACCAAAAAATTCACCAGAAACAGACACACACCTGCAGGTTTTGTTAGTTTCATAAACTTTCTGTTGCAAGAAACTGATTTGGAAACATTTATTATTTTTCTAATTATTTATCATTTGAATTATTTACATTTTTATAATTAAAATACCAAAATTTCCACTCCACTGTACATTTCGGTCCATCTGATTTTGTAATTTTTAAATATTAAATTATTAATAATTCGATCAATTACTCAGTAACCATTTTTTTGAAGCAAATCTTTTTTTTACTCTTGACTGAATAATTTCTTGGACAGCTGCCTTTTACTACTTACTAAACGGTGGCAGTGAAAAAAAATGTCTGATATCTTTATTATTTTTAGATTTCATACGTTTCAAATGTTTGGCTTTAATATTAGTTTAATCTTTTGTTCTTTAATCCCAGATTAACTTCAGGATCTTCAGTTTTCTCCCACCGTCTAAAACGTCCACGTGAGGTTAATTGGCAGATCTGAGCTGCATCACGTTAAAGATCTATAGAAAATGGATGGATAGATGTTAAAGTGAAAGTTAAGGTCAAGATATTCACAAAAACTAATTGTAAGTATTGAATTATTTGAATAATCATGTCATCAACTTCTTTAAAACTGAACAGAACATCTGAATAACTAATTAGATGCTCAGCACACTGTGGACAAAATGGCTGAAAAACTAAATAAGCGTTTAAAATCAGTCCACAATGATCATTATTGACCAGGTTTTCGTTTTAAATATCTTAAATATTTCCAAACTGGCAGCTTGGCCTCCTGTTTTATTCAGTTTTCACTCCAAGTTGTTTTTTAAATTCTAAGCAGTTATGAGACACAGAGATAAAACATGAAACTGCTGCTGCGTCAGTTACTCAGCAGGTTGATGCTAGGTAACCACAGAGTGAGCGTTGCCACACCTTTAATAACATTGTTCATTTGTTTGTAAACTTTATTTATGTCACATTGAGATTAAAAATGTCTTTTCAAGAGAACAGCAGCACACCAACAATCACAAATCATGAAACCACAGATATCAAAACCCAATTAAAGTACAAGACGGGTGATAGAGGAAGAAAATCAATAAATCACACCTATAGAAGTAAACATGGGACTAAAACGTACAAAACGTACAATTATGGAGCAAGATTTGTGGGAAACATTGTAAACAATACCAAAATATTTTTTTTCTAATGCATCCTGGAATAAGAGATTAATAACTAAAGGAAATTCAAAGTAAGAGACGATTCGTACACAAATAAAAAGCTGATTTCTGATGAGTATCTTGTGCCTAAAGTTAAAAAAGACATTGATGAAGTTTATTCAGTTTGACAATGAATTACTGCCATACTGTAAAACACAACTACCTTCTTTGCAGGCAGAAAAAAAGGAGAACATTTCAACATTTTTAAGAAAAATATTTTTAAAAATTCTAGAAGAAATGTGTAAGTTTCAGAGTTTGGAAAGACAAAACTTTTCAAAAGAACAAACTCGCAAATTTTGAGACGAATCTCAAAAATATTCTATAAAAAAAACTTCATAAGTTTCCAAGGTTTTTTTTCTCTCTGAGAGTTTTGAGGTGTCTTTAAATGCAAATAAGTCGCTGTTGACCGCGCCCCCAACGCAGCATTCACTCACCAGTAAAAATGGCTGCACCAGACATGCAACCATGCAACCGCATTCTGCAGAAAAACCAGCTGACTAAACATGCTGGAGCTCAGCTCGGGTTGCAGTGTTCCAGTTCAATTAAAAAACAATTTATTGATCCCCAAAGGTTGTTTTAGAAGTAGCTAAGACCCAAATGGAAGACATTTTGCATATGACTCTAATTCTGGCTTTCATATTTAAGATCATCTCTTTGTGGCTCACACTAAACTTTCAGCTCATGAGGTTCTAGAGGAGAGTTATATTTGGTTCTGTAGATTTATTATCACCAACAGTGGTTCAAATTGTGACCAGAGCTATATGCAGAGAACATTAATTACACTGATGTCCTGTTCTTTCATTATTGTCCTTCTTTTTGGGGTGTATTCTGCCATCGGACTTTGGCGTCAGTCCATCCCTGACTTGCCAGTTTGGCGCCGAGCTGTGGAAGGTAAAATGTGTTAAATTCCTGGTTGATGCAGTGATGAACCAAAAGGAGGTCAGAGAGCCTGGAGTACCTGCTGGAGGAGCCGGGCGCTGATGTCCGGATCCGTCAGGTCGGCACCGGTCACAACCCTCATCTTCACAAGGTGGGCCTTCGTTACCTCTGAGCAGAAAGGAAACTCAGTGTCACAAAGGAGCCAAACAGGTCGAGATGTCGATTTTAAAGTTACACAGTAAAAAACGAAGCAGTATTTAGTCTTATATTTAGTTTACACGCTATATATTTAGTTTACAAAGCTACATATTTGGTTTTCAAACTATACATCTATCTTTTAAATTAAATAGATAATTTAATTTGATTAAGGAAACTATTTAGTTTTTGAACTAAATATTTATATCCCAAATAAATGTTTAAGTCTGAGTTCATTTAATTTTAAAACTAAATGTTTGATTCCACATTAAACATCTATTTTGCTCGCTATTTATTGTCCAACTTAATAAATGATTTCGAAAGTAAATCGAAATATTTAGTTTGCAAACTATTGATTTGGCTTTCAAATTTAATATTTAGATAGGAAGATAAATATTCAGTTTGGAAATTAAATGTTTTGTTCCAAACAAAATACTTATTTTCCAAATAAATATTTAGTTTGTCAAAACAAACTAAATATTTAATTTCAAAGATGTATATTTAATTTTCAGACTTTATACACAGCTTTCAAATGATTTACAGTTAGGGCCAGAAATATTTGGACAGTAACACAATATTTGTGAGTTTGGCTCTGCATGCCACCGCATTGGATTTGAAATGAAACCGCTACAACAGAATTCAAGTGCAGATTGTAACGTTTAATTTAAAGGGTTGAACAAAAATATGTGATAGAAAATGTAGGAATTGTACACATTTGTTTACAAACACTCCACATTTTAGGAGCTCAAAAGTAATTGGACATATAAACATAACCCAAACAAAAAAGTTTTTTCTCAATATTTTGTTGCGAATCCTTTGGAGGCAATCACTGCCTTAAGTCTGGAACCCATGGACATCACCAAACGCTGGGTTTCCTCCTTCTTAATGCTTTGCCAGGCCTTTACAGCCGCAGCCTTCAGGTCTTGCTTGTTAGTGGGTCTTTCCGTCTGAAGTCTGGATTTGAGCAAGTGAAATGCATGCTCAATTGGGTTAAGATCTGGTGATTGACTTGGCCATTGCAGAATATTCCACCTTTTTGCTCTCATGAACTCCTGGGTAGCTTTGGCTGTATGCTTGGGGTCATTATCCATCTGTACTGTGAAGCGCCGTCCGATCAACTTTGCAGCATTTGGCTGAATCTGGGCTGACAGTATATCCCGGTACACTTCAGAATTCATCCGGCTACTCTTGTCTGCTGTTATGTCATCAATAAACACAAGTGACCCAGTGCCATTGAAAGCCATGCATGCCCATGCCATCACGTTGCCTCCACCATGTTTTACAGAGGATGTGGTGTGCCTTGGATCATGTGCCGTTCCCTTTCTTCTCCAAACTTTTTCTTCCCATCATTCTGGTACAGGTTGATCTTTGTCTCATCTGTCCATAGAATACTTTTCCAGAACTGGGCTGGCTTCTTGAGGTGATTTTGGGCAAATTTAACTCTGGCCTGTCTATTTTGGAATTGATGAATGGTTTGCATCTACATGTGAACCCTTTGTATTTGCTTTCATGGAGTCTTCTCTTTACTGTTGACTTAGAGACAGATACACCTACTTCCCTGAGAGTGTTCTGGACCTCAGTTGATGTTGTGAACGGGTTCTTCTTCACCAAAGAAAGTATGCGGCGATCATCCACCACTCTTGTCTTCCGTGGACGCCCAGGCATTTTTGAGTTCCCAAGCTCACCAGTCAATTCCTTTTTCCTCAGAATGTACCAGACTGTTGATTTTGCTACTCCAAGCATGTCTGCTATCTCTCTGATGGATTTTTTCCTTTTTTTCAGCCTCAGGATGTTCTGCTTCACCTCAATTGAGAGCTCCTTTGACCGCATGTTGTCTGGTCACAGCAACAGCTTCCAAATGCAAAACCACACACCTGGAAACAACCCCAGACCTTTTAACTACTTACTTGATTACAGGTTAACGAGGGAAAGGCCTTCTGAGTTACTTGCAGCCTTTAGAGTCCATTGTCCAATTACTTTTGGTCCCTTGAAAAAGAGGAGGCTCTGCATTACAGAGCTATGATTCCTAAACCCTTTCTCCGATTTGGATGTGGAAACTCTCATATTGCAGCTGGGAGTGTGCACTTTCAGCCCATATTATATATAAATTGCATTTCTGAACATATTTTTGTCAACAGCTAAAATAACAAAACCTGTGTCACTGTCCAAATATTTCTGGCCCTAACTGTAGTTAGGAATTTAAATATCTAATGTGTAAGTTAAATATTTAGTTTCTAGCTGATTGTTTTAGTCTAAGTTAAATATTTAATTTTCAAACTAAATGTTTACTTCCAAATTAAACAAAATATTTATTTCCAAAGTATTTAATTTCAAATCATAATATTTTATTTTAAACTAAATATTTAGCTAATGAACTAAGTATTTCATTTGAAAAATAAACTTCAGCATTTTCTTATATGACTGAATAAACCAAAATGCTGCTGTTTTCTGATCACCTTGATAGCAGATGAAAACATGGGAAGTAGTACAGTCTTCATCCTCCCACTCATGTAAATCATTCTCAGCGCCGCAGTGCCGACTACCGCCGCTGTTTGTTGGGCCCGAAGAGGTCCAGTGTCGGAACAAGCTGCGGCTCCCGTCGGACCAAAACCACGGCTCTCGGTACAGACCGATCCAACTGTAGACTCCGCTCGGCATCAGTCCTGCAACTTCATCGTTTTCCTTCTGGTTCTCGATCATTGCCAAGTCAAAGTAGTTTTCCCTGCAGTACGTTTGAGCAGAACTCCAGGATTTCTTAGTTGAGATGTAAAAAAACTGCTTCACATTTTGCTCTTTAACTGAGAAAGAATAAGAGTCAGTTAAACAATGGATTTCTTAAATAAAATGGTTTTTGTGTTTTTAAAATTAAGAAATTAGGGATGCAGATTAAAAAATGTTTTTTTCTGAAGGCATTAGTTTCTTTCTAATTGTTAAGATTTATTATGAACTGCAGGTAAAATGTATAAAACTTATGGTTTCTCTTACCGTTGTAACAAATAAATGACTGTGAGTCTGAACATTGCACATCTCCCCATTTTCTGTTGTCGAATAAAATTACACACGTCTCTTTTCCCGAGGAGAAATCTGGATTATTGGGAGACCATGTCTGGTACCCAGTTTTACTGGTTTCTCCGGTTGCAGACCATTTCCAGGAATTGGGCCCGTTACCCATTTTAGTTTTCCAGTTTTCCGGATCATCCCAGAGTCCGATCCATGCGAGGGAATAGGAAATATCAGTTTCCAGCATGTTTATGTCGTCCATGTTTTCAAACCTGGCCAGGTCGGTGTGATGCTCCCTGCAGTACTGCTGAGCCTTAGTCCAGGTCAGCGACTGGTTGACATAGAAGTACCGGCGTGGTGGATCCTGGGAGCAGTAACCGAGGCAAAGTCCTGAAAAATGACAAAATAGGATTTCAGTTATGGCTTTCGTTCTTTGGGGATGTATTCATACCAACATAGTGGGACAAACGCTGCAAAAACACAAAGTCTTCCCGAGTATTTTTAGTTTCTAATGCAAGACATCAGAGCTTGTTTAAGCAAATAATTCCTTAATATTGATTAAGTAGCTCAATACGTCGGGAGAAATGGACGACAACAGCAGGCGAATGTTTCCGCAACACACCGTGGCAACAAAAGCAACAAAGGTTGAATATTTGATAGATTGATTGATTGTTGTGTTTCTTGATCTTCATTTTTTCCCCCCTACTTTTCTCTTAAACCATCTCTGAAAAATTATATTGTTCATCTTTTAGACTGTTTGGAGTCAAACTCATTTTCGTTTTGGGCCAAATCAAGATCATGAATCCTCTTAAAGTGCCGGTTGCACCAAAATGTATGATAAAACCTGTTCACAAACTGTTAGAATAGACATGAATTCTTCAAATTAAATGATATTACTGAACATCTGTTCAGCACCTCCAGGATTTTGTGAGTCTTTTTGTGATTTTTGCAATAAAAATCAAAGTGTCTGTGGTGTTAATTTGGAAATATATGTGATATTTATGACAATAAATGTGTCTTTTTGTCACTCGCTGCATAGATCATGGACTATAATCTGACATCAATTCGGGTTGATGCAGCTGTTTAACACAAGGAAGAAAGTTTTTGACAAGTGTTGAGAAAAATCTGCAATAAACTCCCAATTATGTGTTAGTGTAAAAAGTACGGGGATTTGTTGATTTCGCATAAATTTCCACAATAATTTTTAACAAACTGAATCAATTGGTTGACATAATTTGGCAGTAAGCAGATAAAAACTGCATTGATTTGACTGATAACATAATATTTAAATCTAGAACCTATCGGGCCACATAAACAGCTACAGCGGGCCGGATTTGGCCCACGGACCTGGAGTTTGACATGTTGGCTGTAGGGTAAAGAGAACTAGTTTCTCACAAAAAGTAATTTTATAATCATTTGTAAACCATTTCTGATGAAACCTTTAAACCCTGAAAGCAAATTTCTGTTTAGTGTTTCAAGCGTTTCCATTTTCCCTCTCTTACCAAAGAGGAGGAGAGCTGCAGTCGTTTGTTGGCTCATCGTTGATTTTTCTGCAGAAAGTGGAAACAAGAATTTCAAAGCTTCAGCACCAAAGAGAAGAAAAAAGTAGCAAAACATTAAATGATCAAAAACATATAAAATTCACACCTAGATGAAAAAATGTTCATAAAATCAAGCTAAGCCTAATATTTTTCTCCAAAACTTAGTGTCTGCTTTATGTATCAAAAGTTACAATAACTATCTAAAATATGGCTTAACTGATAATCTGCAACATATAATGAATTATACTTACTAGTCGGAGTGCAGCTGCTTGGTGTTGTGGACCTGAGATCTCGGTTCTGTGGACAAAAAGGAAGATAAGTCCGAAGTAATCCACATTGGACAATGAAATTTGCATATGCAAAGTTTGACTTAGTAAGTTATGGATACCAAATGTTCCCCTTTACTGTCTCAAATTGGACAGATCATTGCACAAAGTTTCAATCATTTCAGACAGAAAAGTCTGGGTGTGGAAGCTGAACATCCAGAGACACATAAAGACAGTTACAAAGTCAGACTTCTGTCATCTGAAGAACATTTCTAGGATTAAATCACTACTGTTGCAGCAAGATCTAGAGAAACTCACCATTTATTTACCTTTATTTCCTTTAGTAGCATCGATTCGTGTCTTCACAAACTTGCACCACAAACTTCCAGAAAACTGCAGGACAGTTGAAGCACCGAGTTCCTTAAGAAGCACATAGTTAGAGCTAACTTTGACTAGTAGTAAGTGAAACATTTATTGCCATCGTTGATATGAATTGATGATTTTGATGATGGCATTTGACCAGATGTAATGTTTATTGCTTATTCAATAATTGATCCTTTTACCCTGTAAAGCTCTTTGAACTGCACTGCTTCTAAAATGTGCTTCACAAATAAATTTAAATCAACTTGATTTGACATTTTCTGAAAAAAGAAGCAGTTATATTGGATGTTTTTTGGGTTTTTTTGCTCAACTCAGCATGGATAAGCTAAAATTGTATTACTTTGACTGCAAATACATATAAATATACACAAGATTAATAGAGCGAAGGACTAGAGCACAGTATGTGGAAAGGAAAATCATATCCATTTGTGTTTTTATAATCGTTTATTTAAGCAAAATTCCCCTGCAGGACAATTTTGCTGTAGTTTGTCACTGGAAAACAACCCATTTCTGGTTGACACCAGTGATATTAGTGCTAGATGTTAAAACATTTGGTTTATGTCTGGATTTTACTGACGAAGGTCAGTCAAACTTTTACTTCTCAGTTCTAGGAAGCTTGTTTAAAAAAAAAAATGCAAAAACAGCGGAAAGCTCTCAGACCGTCAGGGAGGATCAAACCTCGGAGGAATGCACAAATGAGACTTACGATATTTTCATATGCAAAGTTTGACTTTGGTGAAAATCGTTCCCTTGTTTTTACAAGTTTGATATATGACAATGAAAGAAATCTCTCCTGAAAGTGTGGTTTAATTATGTGAAAAACATAAAAATAATAAAGGTGATCTATTGTTCTTCCTAGAACAGATCAGGATAGTTCTGTGGCATCACGTTTCTTCATGTTCATTACATTTTGGTGCACAAAATCATCCTTATATAATGAGATTTCAGTCTGATCAGCTGATCAAACACTCCAGATCTCACCTTTGGTTGATAGCTAACCAGCTGGGCTTTGGTAACGGCACAAAAACACCTTGAGGGCAGCAGTTCAAATTCAAAAATACTTTATTGATCCCAAAGGGAAATTAAATGTTGCTGTGACTCATATGAATATGACGATGTTTGATAAAACATCAAACCTAAAAAGTATCGGTATCGGTACTGGAGTCGGTGATACCGCCCCTCGGATCAACACCGAAACTGCAGCATCACTGGCATCCTCTCGTTTGTTAAATTAAGCAAAGTGGAAGGAGAAAGGATTCAGAAAAAATGTTTTGCTGCTTCCCAACTAGATTATTGTGTCATATATCAGCTCATAGAAATTTATATGATATGTAGTTTTCTTGAAATTCTAATATAAGCAAATAATTGTGACAAAAAGCCCTCAGAATTCAGAAGTAATTTATTGATCCCAAAATAAAAGCAATTGTTCAAAAAGTTATTATGGATGGTGATGCTACAGCAGCAGTCAATGTCGCAACAAATCCAAACAGACCTCTGACTGAAGACTGTTGCTCTGTGGTCGTGTTGTGGCTGCAGGGACTTGCGAAAGGTTCAAAGGTCATGCAGCAGAGATAATATTCCACATTAACATGTCCTGGATGACGCAACTGCTTGGGAAGCACTGCTAATCTGCCTCATTTGCTTTTGCTGCGCCTCTTTACATGCAAGAAAATCCAGCAGATAGGATTTACTATGTACATTTGAAACTAGAGGGGAAAAAAATACATCCTTTTAATAAACTTTTTCTTTTTTAACTCAACTAGGGTTACTAAAGTGATTAATTTTCTTAGTAAAATGATCCATAATAATCTGCTAGATCTTTTTAAAACCTACTTCTAACTCAAAACGTCAAATCTGGGCTGAAATATTCAGAGTGAAAACATTTATGATTTATTACATCTGGTGAAAAATAGTGCTCTTTTTAATGTATTTGAGCACAAAACAAATGTAAAACCGTTGTTTTTATCCATATTTTTGATAACATGATGAAATGTTATAAAAAAAAAAATTCCCTTCTCACCCACCGCGGGTGGTTCTTATCCTCTGAGCTCGGGTCCTCTACCAGAGGCCTGGGAGCTTGAGGGTCCTGCGCAGTATCTTGGCTGTGCCAAGGACTGCACATTTCTGGACTGAGATGTCTGATGTTGTTCCTGGGATCTGTTGTAGCCACTGCTCCAGTTTGGGGGTTACTGCCCCGAGGGCCCCGATGACCACAGGCACCACTGTGGTCTTCACATTCCAGGCCCTCTCCAGTTCTTCCCTGAGGCCCTGGTATTTCTCCAGTTTCTCGTGCTCCTTTTTCCTGATGTTGCAATCACTTGGTATTGCTACATCAACCACAACGGCTTTCCTCTGTTGTTTATCCACTACGACAATGTCTGGTTGGTTCGCCATTACCATTTTGTCTGTCTGGATCTGGAAGTCCCACAGGATCTTAGCTCTGGCGTTCTCCACCACCTTTGGGGGTGTTTCCCACTTTGATCTCGGGGTTTCCAGTCCATATTCTGCACAGATGTTTCTGTACACTATGCCTGCCACTTGGTTATGTCGCTCCATGTACGCTTTCCCTGCCAGTATCTTGCACCCTGCTGTGATGTGCTGGACTGTCTCAGGGGCCTCCTTGCACAACCTACACCTTGGGTCTTGTCTGGTGTGGTAGATCTGGGCCTCTATTGCTCTGGTGTTTAGGGCCTGTTCCTGGGCGGCCAGGATGAGGGCCTCTGTGCTGTCCTTGAGTCCAGCTTTTTCCAGCCATTGGTAGGATTTACTGATATCAGCCACTTGGGTTATTTGCTGGTGGTACATCCCATGTAGGGGCTTGTCCTCCCATGATGGTATCTCTGGCACCTCAACCTCCGTTCCCTGTTGTCTGAGACATTCACTGAGCACATTGTCTGTTGAGGCTTTGTCCCTGATGTATTTATGGATCTTAGTTGTTTCATCCTGGACAGTGGTTCTCACACTCACTAGTCCTCTGCCTCCTTCCTTGCGGCTCGTGTACAGTCTCAGGGTGCTGGATTTGGGATGGAACCCTCCATGCATGGTTAGTAGCTTTCTAGTCTTAATATCTGTGGCTTTTATCTCCTCCTTTGGCCAGCTAATTATTCCAGCAGGGTATCTGATTACTGGCAGGGCATAGCTGTTTATCGCACGGATTTTGTTCTTGCCATTGAGCTGGCTTCTCAGGACTTGCCTTATTCGTTGGAGGTATTTAGCTGTGGCTCCTTTCCTTGTGGCCTCATCGAGGTTGCCATTTGCTTGTGGTATACCTAGGTACTTGTAACTGTCCTCTATGTCTGCTATTGTTCCTTGTGGGAGTGAGACTCCTTCTGTGCGGATCACCTTCCCCCTCTTTGTGATCAGCCGACCACACTTCTCTAGTCCGAATGACATCCCAATGTCAGTGCTGTAGATCCTTGTGGTGTGGATCAGTGAGTCGATGTCTCGCTCACTCTTGGCGTACAGCTTGATGTCATCCATGTAGAGGAGGTGACTGATGTTGGCCCCATTTTTGAGTCGGTATCCGTAGCCAGTCTTGTTGATAATTTGGCTGAGGGGGTTCAGGCCTATGCAGAACAGTAGCGGGGACAGAGCATCTCCTTGGTATATGCCACATTTGATGGACACTTGTGCAAGTGGTTTGCATTTGGCTTCAAGGGTGGTTTTCCACAGCTTCATCGAGTTTGCAATGAAGGCTCTCAGAATCCTGTTGATGTTATACATCTGTAGGCATTCAATGATCCAAGTATGCGGCATTGAGTCATAGGCTTTCTTGTAATCGATCCAAGCCATGCACAGGTTGGTGTGTCGGGTTTTGCAGTCTCGGGCAACTGTGCGGTCTATGAGGAGTTGGTGTTTGGCTCCTCTGGTATTTACACCGATACCCTTCTGTGCCGTGCTCATGTGTTTATCCATGTGTTTGCTTATCTTGGCCGCTATGATGCCTGGGAAAATACGACCAAAGCAAATGTGCTAAGCTAACGCTAGCAGTTGAAATCAAATGCTTGGTGTTTTTTCCCCCCAAACACAAAAGAGAAATCCAACAACTGTTTCCTTCAGGTATTCCTGTTGTTTCCACCAGGAGTTCTTGGTGCAGCGCCCCCCACAGGCGAGGAGGGGAACCGGTTTTTCAGTACCTTTGGATCGTTTGACACAACACAGTGGAAAGTGAAGCGCAGCAGCTGAAAATGTAACAAATGTTAATCTCCAGTTTGACCTTTTTTTTTCCAACTGTAGATTCACACTAGGTCAACTAAAAGCATGGTGTCTGTGGAGAGTCTCCTGGATCTGGATGAGGAGATTTGTTCAGTACCCAGTGGATTGTGTCCACACTCTCCACCCTCTTTACCTGTTGGAGGTGCTCAGAGGGTCCGGTGACCCTCTGCTGCCCCACTGCAGCTTTGGCTCCAGGTCATTTACCACCATCAGCGTGAACGTGTGTAAATGAATGAGCATAAAGCGCTTTGGACTCGATTAACAACTTCACAAATGGAGGCTCTTAGTATCTACAGGCTCATTTTTATTATCTCAAAGAGACACAGCTTTCAATTAAACACTTTTTTCATCTTGAATCTAAATGGAAACAAATTTTAAAAACAGAACTGAATGTGGAAAACAAAAATTCCCAATCAAAGTCTGGAAAGTTCAGCTACAAATATTGTAAATCTGAATTTTATTTATTAATTCCTTGAATCTAATTGTTATAAGTTATATATATATATTTATCCATCTCATCTACCTGTTCTTATTCATAAAGGCAGGACTACTGAGGTCAAGTGCAGCTGCTTGGTGTTTGAAAGTTTAGACGTCATCTTATTTGGATTGAAAGGAAGACGCCTTCTTCAAAATTCACGGAGCTTCTTTTGTTTTTTATATGCAAAGTTTGTCGTTGAAGTTCATCTTCATGGGTCACATCCTTGTCTTAGCAAGACGGTGTATTTGATCAGGATGGATTTCTCTAATTTAAAGCAGTTTAACGTCAGTACATAAAAAGTTACCCTGCTCTTACACATACTCTATGTTTGCAGAAGTATTTTTCTCCTTGCAGGTTTCCTGTTTCTGGTCATGTGTCATGCTTGTAGTGAATGCTTTAGATCATTAAACAAATGTTAAAATCAGAATATATGGTGGTCTTACGTTTCCTTACGCTACACTATCAAATATAAACCAGTAAGTAATCCTGGATTTGTCTGCACCACCAGATTAAGATTAAATAGAAAGAAAAAAACACACATGCATTGATTTGTTTACATTTTGTACACTCTGCTATGACTTGCAATTACACAAAAGTACTACGCTATTAAACTTCATTTTCTTGCTGAGAAAATCTGAGCTGGTCCAGAAACTCGTCACAGTTGGTACAACTAGATTCAAACAGAAGCAAAACAGCCTGACATTACTGTTAAACTCCATTAAAATCAAGACTATTAATCAAATAAGGGACACTTAAACTGTTCCAGTGGCTGCAGCTCCTTCAGCTGCACAGTTTTAGTTTAGCTGTTCACGCTTCACTTTAAATCGGAATCTCTATACGACACTAAAGTGCTACGTTGTTATTTCCAGGTGTCTTGTTTTAAATGTGACCGCTAATGTTTTATTGATAATAATTTGCAATCTGATTTGAGCAAAAGGTAAAAACAAAAGGCCTGTAAATCAGCAGATGTAATTAATTTGCTGCATTCAGTTTTCTTTGTTTTTCTTGGAGACAATCTTCCATTGCACTTTGAAATCAGTCCATCCCTGGTTGGTCAGCAAGGCACCAAGCTGAGGAAGGGAACATTTTGTTACGTTCCTTAAATATATTGAGACAAGTAAAAGGGAATGAGGTCAGTTTACCTGCTGGAGGACCTGGGCGTTGACGGCTGGATCGGTCAGATCCTTGATGCTCGTCATCATCATTTTCACAGTGTTGCTCGTTTTCACCACTGAGCAGCAAGAAATCATCCGTGTCAAAACCACAAGACAAAACTATGACGCCGTATTACGAGAAAATCTGAGAAAAGTGAGTTAACTTGTAAATGTAAAAAGAAAAAACTTTACTTGAAGAAAAAAAAAAGAAAATTTCTGAGATTTATATTTAAAAAAAATATATTTTCCAGCAAATTTTGGACTTCCTAAACTCAGAAATTTCTAAGTTTCATTAAAATTTCTGAGACAAATCTCTTTTTCAGACACTAAAATATATATTTTTTCCTATAAATGTTCTGACTTTTCAAGCTCAGAATTGTTTGTTTTTCTCTAGAAAGTTTCAGATTGATCTCAAATTTGTCCCTACCACGACATTAAAAAAATGAGGTTTTTGTCAAGGCATCTTGTGATTTGAGAACAATCACCTTGTTCGCAAATGAAGACTTTGACGGAATCACATTTTTCATCACCCCACTGATGCGCTGTATTCTTGCAGACGCAGTGCTGATCCCCGTTGAAGTTTGGCTCATGAGCAGCCCAGATTTGGAAGCGGCTGGGACTCTTGTCAGACCAGATCCACGGCTCTCGGTACAGACCGATCCAGACATTGGCTCCAGCTGGAATTAACTGTTTGACTTCAGAGTTTTCCGCCTCGTTCTCAATCATCGCCAAGTCGGTGTGAAGCTTTCTGCAGTAACGTTGAGCAGAACTCCATGTTTCCGAAGTTGAGATGAACACGTGTCGTTTCACATTGAGCTCTGTGCCTGCAGAAAAACAAAAGCATGTTTGATTTTAAAAGAAACAAACTACGACAGAATGTACTAAAAATAAATACATAAGATTACACAAATAAAGTCCAAATAATGTTAGAATAAAGTCACAATATTGAGCAAATAAATATTGCAAGAATAAAAGTAATTCTATTTCTTTTTTTGTGTGCCATATATGTATATTATATGTAATGAACACAAAAGTTAGTCAAATGTAAGTTAACTTCATTTTTTATACCAAAATGTATGAACATTTTTACTCACCATTGTAACAAATAAAACAGAGTTTCGTATTACAGTCACCACTATACCAGTACCCAGCTTTAGCCATTAACGCGCACTTCTCTGCTGAATATCTGAACTTTGGATCACCAGTGGCCCACGACTGGTAACCAGTTTTACTGGTTTCTCCGGTTGCAGACCATCTCCAGGAGTTGGACTTGTTGCCCATTTCAGATTTCCAGGCCTTCGGATCATCCCAGAGTCCGATCCAGGCCCAAGTATAGGAAATATCAGGCTTCAGCCTGTTTAGGTCGTCCAGACTCTCAAACGTGGCCAGGTCGGTGTAACGCTCCCTGCAGTACTGCTGGGCTTTAGGCCAGGTCACTAACTGGTCAACGTAGTAGTACCTTCGTAGAGGGAACTGCAAGCAGGAGCCCAGGCAAAAACCTGAATATTGACCAAGAAATGGTTGAAGGTCATGATTACTGAATTAGGTTTATGGCTTATTTTATGCTCAATGTAGGAAATCGTTACAGGAATAAAGTGCAACACCCCCAACTCACCACCACCAATTTTGCATAACAGATCCTCTTCAGGCATTAGCTAGATAGCTAGCTAGCAATAGCTGCTTTTCAATAACAAATGTGCGCAAAACCTTTTAAATATTCCAAAACCACCATCCCATACACAATTTAGCAATTGCAGTGTTTCCATTAAATCACATGCGAATATGTTTGTTAACTCTAAGTCTTTCAAAAGCATGATCCTCCAAATACTTCCTGTTGTCGTCTTCTTGGTGGATGGCGCCAGTGACATCATCCGGTTGTTGATCATGTGACTCGTGTGAAAGGAAAAAAGTGCTTATTGCACTTTTGTGAAATAAATAAAAAACTTCCTCAGTCTAAAGCTAAAATGTTTTTTTTCTAAATCAAAGCGAGTTTATTTGACCTTTTGCGCTCTTCACGACGCTTCGCGCGCCGCCATGATGGAGGTCAAAACAACCAATTAGCCCGCTAGCTCCTGAACAGCGCGTCAAAAAACTGAATTTGTTGCCTAATATTGCTTTTATTTTGTTGATTTGACTGTAAAAATGGTCACAGTGACATAAAATCAACGGATGAGGATGCTAACTAATCGTTTCATTTAATCGTAAACGTTTTGATGAGGAAGGCGAAGGATAGCAGCAGCGACTTGATCACGGATTCACAGCCAAAACATTTTACGAAGTAAGAAAATTAAAGGTCATAGACTTAATAAGTTCGTAAGCTTAGTCAGATGCAATACAATATTCAATATTCAAGGTACTTTCCTAATTATTTGTAATCATGGAAAAATTGCGCAACCAGCGTAGCTTAGCATATCAAAAACTGGTAGAACATACACAGACTTTGTCATTTATAATGTTGATATTGAGCACAAATAATAAAACAAATAAGTAAATGATAAAATGTATCAATACAAATAAAAGATTAACTGGAGCTTATTAGTCTTATGGCTCTGGAAATGCAATTGAAGACATGTTGGAATAAATAATGAGGCATAACTTTGGGCAAAATGGTGCAATTTAATCAAAAAACATGTCAGGAGGAAGAAGGTGATCAGTATTTAAACTGGTTGTTTCCAGCTTGAGCATAAAACCCAACTAGCTGTGCTACTTCCACAAACAAATTAACAAGACTTGACCAAGACTATAGAGAAGAAAACACTTGTATACATACGCCCGCCCTCACTTCCCACATCCAACATGGCGCCTCGGCGTAATTAGGTGGCGTAGTTGCAAAGACCCAATAGCACAAGACAGATAATGTGTGAAAAATCAAACTCCTATGTCTCCACCATGTGGTCCTACTGCCATTTACTGAAATACTCGCTCTGGTTAGAAACAAACAATCAGAACCAGAAGGGTCTTGGTGCTGTCAATCACCCTCATGTATGTTCCAAGCTTGTATTAGCCATTTTGCTGCAGTTGTGCTAATGGTGGAGAAACAACCTAAGGTTTATCTGCTGTCATCGGTGGCCATGCTAACTTGCCTGCGAATTAATGGCAGGCTCTGCTGTGGGGGAGTAACAGCGGCGTAGTGCAGCATGTACACGAGCATGATAGACAATGCTAAGACATGCCTACTGCTCTTACGGTCTTACCAGCTGGTCGTCTCCATAGGCAACGACGACACAACAACTAAGATTACTTTGCAATGAAAAAATGCTTGTGATGTTGTGAAATAAATTTAGATTTTTTACATTGCTAATTAGTAATTAAATTTCATAAACAGGTGCATATTTAACTTCTCTCACCAGATTTCTCATCTCTAGCTGTTTTTAGGCTCTTACCAAAGAGGAGCGCCGATCCAACTGTTCGTTTGTTCATTCTAGAAGTTTCTGCAAAAGCAAACAATCATGAAATATTTAGAAAATATAAATATACAACCGTATGGAATGGAAAGAAATGTTTGATTTACTCATTATAGAGTAAATAAAAAAAATCTGTCAAATTTACATTTATTAGAGTTTTTAATTTATTTTTAGAACTTTTTAATTAGATGTACACAATTCAAATCATAGCATTATGACTAAAATTCGCTTTTTTTGGAGTTGATTTAAATTTTTGGATATAAATAAATTACATTTACAAGGTAATTGATCTCTGCAAAATATGCTTACAATAATAAACTCTCTATTATTGGTAAATTAGTTGAATTCATTGTTATAAATGCTTAAACCTATCAAAAATAATCAGAACTTGAACTTATGAGCTGCTAAAGTGTGAAAGCAAAACTCACGAGGTTAACAGCTGGTGATCGAAGGTTGAAGTCGAAGCTTTTGAACATGGAAGATGAAGAGAAATGTACAGACCTTCACAAAATTTACATATGCAAATGTTGATATTCAGACGCAATAGTTGTAGGTTTTTTAAATTACACAATATTCAAGTGATTTCATTTAAGAAGTTGGTTGAAAGACACCAATATGTCTTTGACTAGGAATTTTCTAAACTCCAAAAGCTGAAAATGTTCAACTTTTGAAATGCAGATATTAATCTAAAAATTTCTGAGTTATTTGATTGAAGTGAGCTTTTTTCTATCTACAATGGCCCTAACACTGGCATGCAGGTTTGGGAGTTTTATTTCATTTAGAAACTTTGGTAATTTTAGTGCCAAGCTCAATTTTTAATGAGTAAACAAGCTGTGTGACATAGAGACCTGCATAACAACAACCTTCATTAAATATTTGAAATACAAGCTTTAACTTGTGTGAATGGGATGATTGTTTGTTTTCTAATATCAGCAAAGTTTTAATTGGCATCAAATCAGCAACATTAACCCGAAACACAAAAAGCAGCACAAGCAAACAAGGAAGGTGAGAATCACGGTTTGAATCTTTACGTCTGAATGTCCAGGATGAAAAATGATCAACGTTTGCTGGTTGTCCTGCTCCATTATTTTAAAACTTCATATTAAACCACGTTTATTTACTTTCAAGTTGTTGGCGTCTGAAAACATAATTTCTTATTCAAACAAGCTGAATTTGCATTTTTAGGAAGTGAGTTTGCTGCTCCATTTGCCTGGGTTTGAATCCAGCTGACGTCTCAGTGTTTCGCACGTTGGATCCCTGCTGCCTATTTCCATACCTACGTAGAAAAGAGTTATTGGGATTTTAATGTTTATACTAAGACAATTCCTTTTATTTCTTTTGGTTTGATGCAGAGGATAAAAAAATAAAACTGAACAATTTGAAGTCTAAAACCATTGTTGCTGAACTTATAAATATTTTTGCTCATGTTTGTTGCCTGTGGAATCAGAAGTTTGCATAAAAAAGAAAACAGCTTGGATTCAAACCAGTAACTTCCTGGCTTAATTCATCCTAATCTTTATTATTATCGTTTTGTCTCCCAGTAATTCCCTCCAGTAACAAACTGATGTTCCAACATTCATTTTCTGAATCTGGTGGTTTTAGTTTTCTTGTTTTTAAATTGTCGTTTTTGTAACAAAACAGGATCAAATCTGATATCTCAATTGCAAATTTCTTAATACACTTGCAATAAAACAAAACGGTAACACTTTGAAGGGGCGTCATAAACATGAAGGCGTCTTCATGAATGTCTGACTGTTGTCATTAAATGTCTTTCAATAATGACAATTTTAATCCAAAGTAGCTTTAAAGGTTCGATTAAAAGTCCATAAAAAGTGTCATTATTTACTGAATGACTCTTCATGACAATGTTGTGAGATATTTGCACTAGAAACTAGACAAAAATGCTGGTAAGATTTTGTTTTTGTAGAGCATTTCTTGAAGACAACTCAGTTTTTTTGTCCTCCATAGGATCACTCGGACTTTGGGGGGTCTCCATAGGATCAGCGCCCCTGCTGGTGAACAACGGTCACTGCAGCAAAACAAACAAAAAGACACTGAAAAAAACTATTTTTCACATATTTTTATTCATACTATATTATATATTTTTAGTCTATGTTCATAAGATATTTATATATATATATATATTTCACATATATGTTTTTGTATAACTATTTACAGATGGCAGTGTTGCCAGTAGCTGATATTTCAACATAGTGAATGAGGAAAAACTGGTCAAAGTTCAGTGCTATGCTGGAAAACAGTTTGATTTAAAAAAAACAAAAAACAAAAAAAAAAACAACAAAGAATCAGAAAGTGGGAAAATGGCAAAACATTTACATGATGCAGCACACTTCATCTTCTGCTCCAGAACCTGTGCAAATGTAGTGTTTTTGCTTTTCCTGCAGAAATGACCAGGCTGTGCCCACGTTTACACGTAAACAATATTAAATAAGACAAAACAGGAAAGATGCAACACTATGTACACGGAAACAATGAGCTGATACTGATCGACATGACGGGAAAGATCCAGATTAATATTTAGGATAAAGTACAGCCATGCATTTAGCAGAGAGCACACATTCGGCGATGCATTTGCTGCAGCGTTTCACCACACAGAACAAACTATTGGACCCGACAAGATGAACGATAATGTCTGCCACATTCACCCGATCAGAAATACACTTTGGAATTAATGGCTTTCGGAGGAAACAGATGTAAAAAAAAATGTCTAAATTGCATTATTTCATCTTATGTTTTTTTTATAGTACTTCCTTTTAAAAATAAAAAATACATCCAACTAAAAACCTCCAACACACACGTGCATTTGTGTGTCTGTGTGCAACGTGCAAATCTCTTCCACAAATACAGTAAACTTTATGTTCCCTCTTCAGACCCCCAAAGTAAAAAAGCGACTTCATCCACTCCAGAAAAACACGCAGCCGAGTCGGTCAGGGGTCAGAGGTCAGGTCCAGGTGGAGGTCAACAAATCGTTCGCCCTTAGGAAGCCTTCATGGATGCACTTTGAATGACAGCAGTTCCTCAGAGTGCATGTTGTTGAGCGAACGCAGCTCGGGAAGCTTCAGCAGGAGCTTGGTGAAGGTGGTGGCGGACTCGTCGCCGTGGTTCTGCATCACCAGGTTCCTCAGCGCCCAGATCAGTTTGTCCTGCAGGGCCTCCACAGAGTTCAAGTCCTGGATCCCCGATCGATCTGAACCACAAGAGGCGACGTTAAAACTACCGAACCCAGAAGGAAACGTTTTGACACAACTTATCGATTAATAGGTTCGTCTGAAGTTAATTTATTTGAAGACTAGACTAGATTGACTAGATTTTTCAATCTAGATTTTTCACATCCTGATTTGACTAGATTTTTCACATCCTGATTTAAAAATATAATTTTAAAGTTATTTTGTCAGCTGTAATTAGGTCTGTCACAATAACAAAATTATTTCTATAAATGATCATGTTGTTTTGAGACCATTTTCAAATAATGTGATGGTAATGGCATAACAATGGATCAATAAACATAAATTGTATTCCACACCAGAGCCGTTTCCCTATTTAATTCCTGTATCAACCAGTTAAAGATGACCAGCGGCGCCCTCTGCTGGATGGCAGCCAAACTACAATACTAAAAGCGGCCTTTATAATCCATCGAGTGGAGCTAATTTCCATCTATAAACATTATTTGACCACAAATTGCATTGCTAGTAGAAAGCGGTGATGAGTGTTGGGATCTTACCGGCTGAGACGAGCACCACGGCGGTGAAGAGGCTCATTTCGTCCTCATTTAGCCGCAGAGCTGCTAGCTTCTCGCTGAACTCGCACATGGAGTTGAGCAGCTCGCCGGCGCCCAGCGACCTCAGCGTGTCGAGGCTGTAACGTTTGCCGCTCAGAAAGGTGACCGTGCGTTCGGCCATGTTGAACAGGGAAGCGAAGCGGACCATCAGCACCTGAATATCAGGGTTAGGGTTAAATGATCAGATCTTCCTTTTTCCTCAGCTTTCTAAGCTTAGCCACAAAATCTATTTCAGTTAAGAGCATGAATCTCAAAATATTTTGTCTCAATACTCTATGAAACATGGAGCCCGGTTGGCTTCTCACCTCAAACGTTCCAGCCTTCAGCAGGCTCACTTGGTCGTGCTCAGAGAGGTCACGGAAACCCGGGATCCTCTTGGCGAACTCCACGACCTCCCGCACAGCGGGAGTGAAGCTCAGGGAGAACTCCTCCCAGATCTCCTGACTCGGCTTGTTGGGGTCTACGTACGGAGAGGTGTTCATCGGGCAAACCTTTCGAGAGCAAAGAACAGACAGCGTGAAGCAAATGTTTCCAAGTTTACGAGTTTGTGTGTAATTATTGGGGGATTACTCACCAGGTATGCTCGACTTTTCATGCAGCTGTTTGGTCCGTTGTAGCTAAAGGCATTCTGGGTGCAACGTTCTTCCTGCTTGTCTTCCTTGGATGGATTGCATTCGAGCTGCTGCTGGTACAGCGCCGTCTCGTCCCGGTAGGCCGAGTTGGAGTACGGACAGCGCTGGTATCCTCCCGCAGCCGGATTGTCGTTCCAGCAGCTCGAGGTGTCCCGCTGCTCCTCCATGCGGCCGCCGCAATCCGTACCGGACGGCTGCGAGGCGCGGCCCTGCGACGACGACCTCTGCTGGGGAAACGTGAAGGCGTCTTGGTGCTGCCCGTTCATCGTGACGGCACCCTCATCCTCGCTGCTGTCTGACCCGCAGGAGGATGCGG